AACGCGCCCCGAGCGCGGCGGAGGTGGCGCCGCGCCGGCCCGAGCCCGCCAACGCCGCCCCCGCAGCAGCAGCAGCATCATCATCATCGGCGGCGGCGGAAGAAAACACGGTCGCGCCCTGGGAGCGTGAGCCCGAAGAGCAGGAGGACTGGAGGCCGACCCGGGCCCAGATCGAGTACGTCGTCGAGGTGCTGGGGGCTCTCGGGCCCGACGAACGGTTTCCGCTCTCGGCCGTCGCGGCTAGGCTCGAGCGGACGGCGCCCGAGGTGGCCGAGCTGAAGCGCAACGTCACGGACATGGCCAAGCGCAGGTACGCGGAGCAGGGCGTGCCTGCCGACGAGCAGCCCGACTGGGTGTTCAAGTGATCTGGGACGGGATTGGGGAGAGATAACAGCCATACGCCCTTTACGAGCCCCTTTATGCCTCCATGATACCTCTTCTACACCTTTTACGGTTTTACGTCTCTTACGACACCTCTTCCGCGACTTTTATGATACCTCTTTTGCGCCCTTTTCTAATGCTTCTTTTGCACATCTTATGATACCTCTTGGGCTATCTTGTTCATGTGATGGTACCCTCCTGCCCAGCGATCAGGCTGTACGGGCAGGTCCGGTATATATCCGGCAGCCTTACCAAGTCGAGAAGGGACTGCCGATCTGACGCACTTGTGCAGGAAATTCTCGGCCCAACGACGGGCTGCCACATATGATGGCGGGGTAGATGGCTGTTTTGGATGAGCTATATCGCGTGGCCCACAGGTACCTCTACCTCCCATCCCATATGGGTGCTTGTCTTGGTGGCCCACCCAGCGAAACGGAAAAATATGCACGCAGCTCACATGCCATGCACATGTGCTCCTGGCATTGGGATAACATCGGCCCATGCAGGCTGCACCAGCAAAAACAGACGGCATTGAGCCCAATCCGGGCCAGGCCCAGCCTGGAGCTCCAGCAGCTTCCAGAGAAGATGTGCGGGCTGAAAGTGGTCCATCAAGGTGGGGAGATTGGACGCAGTGGTCAGCCAGAGATGAAATTTGGATGGACGCCACTGGGCGTGGCAGGCCCACTCTTTGAGTTTAAGCTACCTCGAATGTGCAACGGTGGGGGGAGACGCACGCATAGTGATGAGATGCGATGTGGATGCGCAGCGTTACGACTCGGACTCGGTGAAAGAGGTCCCTTCCAGCCAAACGGCGGTCTGCTCTGAGAGAGGCGGGGGACGCAAGCTGCAAACCAGCCCCTTCAAGCTCCAGAAGGCAAAAGCTCGTGTCCCGATTATTGGTAGAAAAAACGGAGTGCTGGCTGCAGGCGGGAAAGGGGTTCGACGTGGTTACCTCATGGTGCAGGCTAGCATAGACGACGCGTCGCGTGTGGCCAGCTTGGGAGGACGGATGGGCGGATTGGGACTTCCATATCACCGAGGTTGGGCCTCTGAAGTGATAGCGCATCGGCTAGCAGCTTGCTTTTTTATTCTGCTACATGGAAGGTTGATCATTGTCGACCGTGCTCGTTATGCAGCCCGGAACGGAGCGATGGAGCATCCGTTTGAACGTTACCACCAAATGTGTCTGCACCAATGACTCGGCTGGCACGGCTCAATGAATGCGGCCGAGCTGTCGCAAGGAAAAACGACGGGCAGCGCTGGCTGGGACCGCGGCTGGGCTCGTTCGTTCAGGCCAGGGCCAAACGCCATCATCATCGGGGCGGCGTCAGATATCCGTCCGTGGCGGACCGAATGACGAGCTTTCGGATGCCATCCCATCAATCCGTGACACAACATGTTGCGCCCCGATAATGCATCGCCAGAGGCCAAGCACCCGGATCCTTGTTTTTCTCAGTCATGGTATACGTCTGCTGCCTGTGATATGCCGTCCACTGCTGGCGCCCCAGCCGGGCAAAAATGCAACCTTGTGAGCCCTGGTTCCCTGGTGATTTCCTCTCTGGTGTCCCCCAACAAGGCCCAAGACACCCGACGCACAAGCTAGGTGCGCAGCGTCCCGGCTAGCATTGAGAGATTGAGGGGGGCAAAGCCCTTCAACTGTCGCAGCCGCCGTTGACGGCTGTGCGTGTGCTGTGTCGCTCAGTTGCACACCGTCGGTCCGCCAGGTCCCCTGGAGCTAATTGACGTTGGCGGTGGGTCTAGGCCTCCCATCCCACTGGCCAGCGCGTCGGCTCCCTGTCGAACGGACAAACATGGCCAGGGGGTTCGCGAGCTGGCCTGGGCTGGTTTCGTTTCGCTTTTATTTTTCCTGCTCCTGCTCTTCCAGCTCCATCCCACTCTGCCAACGAAACCCTCCCAAGGTCCTGCCGACGACCGCATGATCTTGCCCCGTCTTCCCCAGTCTTCTCAAGCAAGCCGCCCCCGGACAGGCCACGAGCTATAGGCTGGAGTAGCTATAGAATACCTACCCTGCCGAAGCATAGCTGCCTGCGACGACTGTAGCCAGTAGCCCGCGCAAGTTGCCCATCGCCAGCGTCGCCTCCCGTCATCCGTGCAACCAAAGTCAATTACGCCGGCCAAACAGACCAGCTGCATCTCATCACTGTCGCCTGACGGCAGCCTGCAGGCAGGACATCAACTGCCCGCTGCGAGTAACCGCTTTGGCACTCGGCTTCCTCTGGGCTGATAAACCTGCGACGGTCGCTGCCCTGCCATCGCGACCTCGCTTGTAGCATCCACACCAACGCCACCCACTAGCCGCATCACGAGCAACATCTGGCAAAATGTCCGACGCCGACGGGTTTGAGGTCGTCCAGCGCGATGAGGCTACCGCGCCCACTCCGACCCCCAAGTCTCCGCCGAAGCCAGCAACCGAAACGAGAAAAATACCCTCGCCTTCGGCTACCGGTGTGAAAAAGGTGGCCGGTACTGCCACCTCGGGCGTCAAGCGCCCAGGCACAGTATCTGGGACGGCGACTAGAGCTGCCGGCACCACCGCGCCACGGACCTCGACCGCTGGCAGCACTCTAGCCAAGCCCCCAGCCCGCCCCGCCGCGGGCGCCCCGACGGTTATCAAGCGCCCCGGCACCGCCTCGACGACCGCCTCACACCGCTCGCAGCCGTCCCAGTCTGAGGATGAGGCCAAGCGCCGAACGTCCACCGTGTCCGGCACCTCCCGCCGCGTCTCGGCCGCCCCCAGCTCGCCTGCTGGAAAGACGGCGACGACCACCACCGCGGCGCGCAAGCCCCCTAGCTCCACCGGCAGTGCGACGGGCACCACCGCCTCCAAGCCTTCCACATCGTCCAGACTGTCCACCGCGGGATCGACCACGTCGGCTGGGGCACCCCGCGGTCTTACTCCCAGGCCAGGTACTGCCACTGGCGGCGCCGTGGCCGACGCCAAGAAACGCCTGTCCTCCGCCGCTGGCGGCCCCGCTCCCAGCGCTACGGCTACGAGCCGCGTCGCTCGCGCCTCGCCCTCGGCCGCAAGCAGCTCTGCAGCCTCTACTGCCCTCGCAGCCGAGATTGAGACCCTCAAGGCGAAACTGGCGGAGAGCGAGGCCAAGATTGGGGAGCTCACCAAGCTCAAGACGGAGTCGGAGGACAAGATTTCCTCTCTCGAGGCGAACGCCGGCGGTAACCAAGAACCCGAGACGGGAGGTCTGGAGGCTCTGCGAACCCAACACGCTAGCGAGCTTGCCGTGCTCGAGGCGCGTGTGTCCGAAACCCAGGAGAAGCTCGCGGCGGCCGAGGCCGAACTTGAGAAGCACAGGTCCGAGGCCCAGGGCCTCTCCAGCGCCAAGGATGCCACGCAGTCGGAGCTTTCCTCTCTAAGGGAGGCCCTGGAGAAGCTCCAGGCTGAGCATGCGGAAAAGCTGAACGAGAGCGAGGTAAGCCTCACCAAGGCCACCGAGGATCACGCCACGAAGCTTGCTGATCTGCAGCAATCGCTTGACGACCAGCACAAGGCGGCCATTTCGGCCCTGGAGGCTAAGCACGCCGAGGACATGGCCAAGAACTCTGCCGAGGCGGGCGACCACGAGCCTACCGAGGCTTCCCCGAAGGCCACCCACGAAGCCGCCATCAGCGAGCTGCAGAAGAAGATAGATGACCTCACTGCCACCCAACAGGCGCTAGAAGCCGCCCACGAGGTCAAGCTGGTCTCGGAGGCCGAAGCGTACACGACCAAGGCATCCGCCCTCGAGGGCGAGATCGCCGAGCTCAAGGCCAAGGTCGAGACGGCTGAGCAGGCCGCTGCGACTGCGAAGGCCGACCTCGAGGCCAAGGCCTCCGAGCTGGAGGCCCTCGAGTCGCGCGTGTCTGAGCTTGAGGCCGAAGTTGCCGAGGCCAAGGCCGCCGCTGCCAAAGCCGAGCAGGCTCTCGCCGATTCCCAGGCCCTGATCGAGAAGGCCGCTGCCGAGAACAAGGAGAAGGATGGAGCTATCGCGAAGCTGAACGAAGAGCGCGCAGCTCTCCTCGAAAAGCACGAGGCGCAGTTGAAGTTTCTCTCGAAGGATTTCGAGAATGAGATTGAGAGTCTCAAGGGGGAGGCCCACTTCAAGCGCCAATTCCAAGAGCTTGAGCCTAAGTACACTGAGCTCTCTGCCAAGCATGAGGGTCTCACCAAGTCATCGGCTGAGGCAGCTGATTTGGCTGCCGCTCAGACGAAGGCCCTCGAGGCCGCTACCGCTGAGCATGCTGCGCTTGTGGAGACACTGGCGGGCAAGGAGACAGAGTACCAAAAGAGCCTGGACGCTCTGCGCGCCAGCCATGCCGAGGAGCTGGAGAGCGCCAAGCTCGGCGCCACTTCCGACAGGGACACGCACATTCAGGAGCTCGATGCTCTCAAGGCGAGCCATGCGGCACAGGTTGACAAGCTGAAGGCTGACGGCGAGGCTGCGCTGGCCGAGGAGCTCGAGGCCCTCAAGGCTAGCCACGCAGGAATCATCGAGCTCATCAAGAAGGAGTTCGCCACCGAGAAGGAGGGCATCCTTGCCGACCATATGGAGGAGCTCTCAAGCGCTAGAGCTGCTAGCGAGGGCTCAGCAAGCTCAAAGGTCGACGAGGTCAAGGCCGCGCTCGAGGCTAAACATGCGGTTGAGGTCACCAAGCTCATGGAGGAGCTCGAGACGGCCAAGACCCTGCAGAAGGAGATCGACGCGGCCGAGGCTCGGTTGACGGAGGCCCAGGCCGCCCATACGGCAGCCCTTGAGCAGACCAAGAAGGACATGGAGGTCAGCCACAGCGCCGAGGTGGAGAAGCTGATTAGCCTGCACAACGGCACCATCGAGAGCCTGAAGCAGGACGGCGAGACTACGGCTGCGTCCGGGCTGGAAGCGCTCAAGGCGGAGCACGCCAAGAACATCCAGGCTCTTAAGGAGGAGCACCTGGCCGCATCCACGGCACACGCCGCCGAGCTCGACGCCACTAAGAAGGAGCTCGAGGTCGCGATGGCGCAGGTCAAGTCCGAGCTCGCCAAGGCGCAGGAGGAGATCGACTCGGTCAGCCAGCAGCTGGCGACGGAGAAGATGGCCAAGTTCGAAGCGATGGCGGCCCTCGACGAGACCAAGGGTCAGAGGCCCGACACGTCGGAGCTGGACGCCGTCAAGGCCGAGCTGGCCGCGCTCAAGGAATCCTCGGCCGCGGCTGCCAAGGCGATGGAGGAGAAGGCGGCCAAAGCGGCCGAGGAGCTCGCGTCGGTGAAGGAGGACGTGCAGCTCGCGCAGAAGGAGCTCGAGGCGCACAAGCTCGAGGCCGAGGCCAAGGCCAAGACGAGCGCCAATGACTACAAGGAGATGCACGACCTGCTGTCTGAGACGGTGGCCGAGGCCAGTAAGAAGGCGGCGGACGCGGAGCAGACGGTCAAGGAGCTCGAGGCGCAGCTCAAGGTAAAGGAGGCGGAGCTGGCCGAGGCACAGGTGCGTTTTGTTCCGGGACTGGGGCCGACGCCGAGTCGTTTTATGGCCACCAGTAACCACCACCCTCCATCATCGCCCTCGTACCTGCAAAACGTGAGTTGCGCCTAAACAAAATTCTAACCCTTGTCTTTCGTCTGCGGCACGCCCAACCACCACAAAGCACAAGCAATAGACCAAAGCACAGCAGCCAAAGGGGCTTGCCGCCAGCAGACACGCCGGGCCTGACGACGAGGGCGACGCCGACGCCAGCGCTTCCGCGTCCAAGGCTGCGGAAGGTGAGGAACAACGCCAGGGTGGCGCGGCCGATGACGGCGAGCCCGACAACTCTTCTGCGGCAATAGCTTCGGTGCGAGCGCCCCTTTGCTTTGTTGCAGAGCAAATTTTCTTTAGTGCCACCGCCCTCACCCACCCTACGGTTGCGCGGCAGTGGCCTTGGAGCCTTCAGGATTTCCGCCTCCGCCTGCCTCTTTCTGATTTCATTCTGTCCCTTCTTCACCTCCTCTTTGCGCGCTGATCATGCATGACGTGCTGACGCCTACTCTGTCTCTCCTTGTAGCTAGCTAGGGTGCGCGAGATTATCCACCAGGTGTCGGATGAGGCGGATGACATGAGGGAACAGAACCGCCGGTACGCAGCCTCCCCTGATTGTCCAGTTTCTCCGTCTCTTCGGTGGTGGGAAATGCTGTACGTGGACGCTGACTGACCCAATGTGTCCATTTTGCAGAATGCTCCTCACGATAGCATCGGCGGATGATGAAGTCAGCCCACCAGAGCCGGCCAAGGTCCGGTCCTGATTTCTCGTTGCATTCTCCGTCACGACTGCACTCCATCTTATGCCTCTTGGTCTCACTGCTTGTTTTTGCTCGGTCTCGGGGGTGGGTTCCGCGGGTGACGGGAAGGTCCAGGTAGCAACGTTATTGTGTCATTCATATACCCCCCCTCGACAAGCTGTATTAGTCTCGCTCCTTTCATGCCGGGATTTTCTGTCCTTTTCTTCATCAGGAGGAATTTCTTGTTCATCATCCACGCTGCCTGTCCGCCCTTCTTTTTCCTCAGGCCATGCAGCACCATTATTGTGATCAGGGATGCTTCCCTTCTCTTTTTTTTTTCCATCTAGGTGTTGTTTTAACGGTGGATAGATGGGGTGTCGCGATCGCACCCTCGATGTGCCAACCCGGGGTTGGTTGGGGGGGTTGGAAGTGTGCTTGCTCTTTTCCATCGTACTATTAATACCTTTTTTTATTGCTTGCTTCTTGTACATATCGACCCTCCTGAACCGTGAGCTGTGCTTGGACCTGACCTTTGATTGTTTGTTTTCCTTGGGAATAAACTTTTTGTCTAGGCCCGTATCGGGAAGGCCTGCTCACGCCCACCACCAGAAAGGCGTCAGTTTTACAGCCCGCTCCCAAAATCTCAATAGAATTTTTAGTGCTGTAAGCTTTCCTATTCGTATTCTTTTTCCCATTGTTATTCTTATTATCATTCCTATGTTTATTCCTATTTTTATTCCTGTTTTGATGCGTATTTCCATTCCTATTCCTCCAATGAACTAGCTTTTTTTTTGTGGTGGGCGTGCTGCTCAAGGGAACGTATCGCCGACGATGACGGTAATTGTTTGTCACTCTAAGATTTGCTCTCTCGTGCTGTTTTGTGGTCGTGCTCCTCCCAAATTTTATAATTCCGTACGGCGAACGCTGTGCCGCCATTGTAATAGCATAATGCAAACCCGTCGAGCATTAAACTCCTGCCCGTAAAAGAAAAAAGGCAATGTTCTTTCCCCAAACTCCTTCCCTATCACCCGCTCGCTCCTCTTTAAGCGCTAGACACCTAAGAGGACTTCCACTGGCCAGCGTCCCTGGCGCCCTTGGCGACGGAGCCGAGGCCGCCCTCGACGCCGCCCGTCAGGTTGGCGACGCCGTCGCCGACAGGGCGGCCGACGCCCCCCGTGACGCCCGTGACCGTCTCGCCGAGCCCGCGGCCGGCGGCGCCGACGACGCCGCCGACCGTGTTGGTCAGGCCCGACACGGTGTTGCCGAGGGTCGAGGTCAGGAACATGGCGCCGCCCGTGACGCCCGAGTCGGAGCTCTTCTTGTCGAAGCCGGACATTGTTGGGTGTGTGTATTTGGTGGGTGCTGGTCTGTGGGAGGGGGTGGCTGGCTTGGTTGGTTGTTCAAGAGGGTATTCGGCAGCAGATGTGATTTCTATGGTTTGGTTGTGTCTTGGTGTTGATGCTTGGGAAACTGTGGCGCAGGAGGAGAGAGTTTTATACACGACTGTCGACGCCTAGAGTGCCGGTACCTAATCTATCTCGGATACTACGTCATCTCGGCGGTGCTTGCCGTCATCTTTCATCCTCCCACACCCTCATCCAGGCGCCTCGTTTGCTCTGCTAAGCCACACTTCCTGCCGGATCGATCGAGAATCGAGACGGTGACGTCGGACGCGGCTGCTGATTGCTGGACAGCTGGTCCCGTGGTGGATGCCTTTTTGCTTTTGTAAATGGCAGGTTCCCCCTTTTTGATCTACAGCACCTGCTCTCTCTCGATTGGAAGCTCGGGATCTCAGACGGCTTACACATGATGTCATGGTTCCACCAAACATAGTTGGGAGCTTGGGCCACATGACCTGTTTCAAGAGCTGCCCCTCATGCAGACCCCTTGTCGTCAGCCCAAGGCGGGGTGACGCAGGGCGGTGGAGGAGCTCGACAAGAGGCGAAACAGCGTCGGTGCATTGAGGCTTTCATGCGGGCGGCTTCTCATACCAAGTGCCGACACGGCTACAGCCGCCACAAAGTAACACCACAAACCTAACCCCCTTACACCCTACCTCCCTCCTTAGCTTGCGCATTAGTCGCAGATGGAGCCACCGCCGGCGCCGGCTGCGAGGCCACCGTCGTCTTTCCCCGCCCTGGCCCTCCTGCCAGACAAGCAGCAGTGGGGATTCGAGGCGCCCTCCAAGCGCATCCACGACGGGCCCGACGTCGCCCGCTTCCTGACCTCAAAGGCCTACCGCGACATCTGCGTCTTCGTCCTGCAGCTCAACCGCGCCCTGTGCCCGCGCCGCAGGACGGATGCCGCGACCGCAGTGGCGGCGGCAGCAGCCGGCAGCGGGGCTGGCGCCCTCAGCAGGCCGGCAGCCGCGGCGGCGGCGACGACCAGCTTTACGCTCGCCTCGCACCGCGACGACCCGCCGTCGGTGCGTCGCCTCCAGGCGCTGCTAGACAAGGTTGACGCCATGGTCGACGACGCCCCGCCCGACCCGGGCCCGAGGCGGTTCGGCAACGTCGCGTTCCGCTCGTGGCACAGGCTGCTGGGCGAGAGGGCCGACGCGCTGCTGGACGAGGCGCTGGCCCCGGAGGTGCTGGGCTTCGGTGGCGGCGGGGGTGGTGACACCAAGGTTGAGGAAGAGAGTGGTAGTGTCGCCCTGGCCGTGTCCGCCAAAGAGGAGCTCAAGGCCTACTTCCTCGGCGGCTTCGGAAGCTCGCAGAGGCTCGACTACGGCACGGGCCACGAGCTGAGCTTCGTCGCGTTCCTGGGTGGGCTCTGGAAGCTAGGCGCCTTTGCGGACGCAGCGAACTCGCAGCCGGGAGATGCTGAGAGGAGCATTGTGCTCGGAGTCATTGAGCCGTACGTCGTCCGAAACAAGGTCCAGGGAAGCGCCTGACGCATCCACATATTTACTAACATCGTATGTCGTGCCGTCAGATACCTCAAAGTGATCCGAAAGCTGATCCTCACTTACACCCTGGAGCCAGCCGGCTCTCATGGAGTCTGGGGGCTGGACGACCACTCTTTCGTCCCCTACATTTTTGGATCCGCGCAACTGACCCGGCCCATTGACGAGTCGGAACAGATGCCGCTCGAGGGCTCCATGCCCCGCGCGCCAAAACCAAGCGACATTCTCAAGCCCGAGACGGTCGAGGTGCAACGTGAGCTCAACATGTACTTCTCGGCCGTTGGCTTCATAAACGACGTCAAGAAGGGCCCCTTTTGGGAACACAGTCCCATCCTGTTTGACGTCTCGGGTATCAAGGATGGCTGGGGCAAGATCAACAAGGGCATGATCAAGATGTTCAACGCCGAGGTTCTCTCAAAGTTCCCTGTCGTCCAGCACTTCCCCTTCGGCTCACTCTTCTCGTGGGACGCGGACCCGCACGCGCCACTGCCGACAGCCAGCGTGCACATGCAGAACCAGCCACCCGTCACGGCGCATGGGGCGACGCGCGCCATGCCGCCGCAGTCGATGATACCACCGATTGGCGGGGCGGGCGCCGCGGCGCCGTGGGCGCATGCGGCCGCCAGTCGCGTGCCGGGAGGGATGGGAATACCTTCAGTGGCTGGCGGTAGACCACCGCCTCCAGACCCTGTGGAGAGACAGGTGCCAAGGGTCTCCGCCATGGTTGCGCGGGAGGACATTACGGCTGAGCAGTTCAAGGCTACCAAGGCGCCATGGGCTTAAGGTCTCTGGTAGAAGCGGGGGTACTAGGTGGTTTGCGATGTACTTTTGGTATGGCTATCGTTTCAGGGAAGGAAGGGAACCGAGGCCCGGCGAATCGAGAGCACTGTAGAGTCGAGTAGACAGATACCCGGTGATACGTGGATCAGGCACGTTAAAGGAAAAGAGAATTGCGTAAACGGCTATCAATTGATCTACGAGTGTCTCTGAATGCCAACGTCTTTCCGTTGGTCTTTTGGTATCTCTGAATTTCGGAATCATAACGGATAATGGCATAAAGTCATGAGGTCAAAATGTCTCTTTCTACCCGTTCCGTCTTCCCTGGTCGAATTTTTTCTCTTCACCAAAGTTCCTCCTGTGCCAAAGCAGCCTAGGAACACGTCCTGCTGATGGGGTATTGGGGGCAATGGTATAGATGAAGGTGTGTGAAGATGACGAAGTGTGAGGATGACGACGTATGAAGTATGGAGTCATGTGGAAGTGGTGTCGTGTGAAGATAAAGACGTGTAAAGATGAAGACGTGTCAAGATGACGCAGCGTGAGTATGAAGCCGCGGGAGAGATAAAGCCGTATGAAGATGAAGCCGTGTGAGGATGGAGCCGTGGCCGCAGATCAGTTGGGGTGAGAAGGTGAGAAGAGTGGTCAGTCTCTCGAGGGAGCGTCTCCTCTATCTCTTGTTCTTCATTTCGGCCCGCAAGCTCTAGGTAGGGTGTTTCGTCAGCTCCTGCCCTACTCATGACCTGAACAACTGCCGGACTCACATCCGCTCTCTGGGTAAGGCCTCTTCCGGCGGCATCCTGGGCGCGGCGGCAGCGCGGCGGTCTCAGCTTGTGGCCTCGGGCTCGGAGCCGTCCCGGGCGTCGAGCAGGGCGCGATGACGGTCCACGAGATCGCCCAGGTCGGCGAGAATGCCAATCAGCCGGGGCGAGACGGGCTCGCGGTTGCCGTTGCCGTCATGGCCGTTGTCGTCGTCGGCGTCGCCTGCCTGGGAGCCGTCCCGGGCGGCGGCGGCGATGGCGGCGGCGGCGATGGCGCGATGTCTTGTCACCATCTCTTGTATGTCGTCGAGCAGGGCGACCAGGCCGGACGAGACGCTCGAGCGGCCGTTGCCGCCGTCATCCGCCTGGCTGGCGGGCTTGTCGTCGTCGTCGTCGTCGTCGTCGGCGGCGGCGACGGCGGGCCGGGGGGCCGGCGCGTCGTGCTCGAACAGCACGGGGAAGCCGCCGTCGTCGTCGCGGGCCGCCGCGACCTCGTCGGCCCACCGGGCACAGCGGGCGAGGACCGCCTCGGCCGCGTCGAGGTGGGCGAGGTGGGCTTTGCGGAACGCGGTGTGATATTGTTAGCATGGATGTGTCATTCTTTAAATAACACGCGTTGGCTCCCAGCGCAAGCAACAGGGACAAGCAAGAGTCTCCTTGTCGCCGCGCGTCACCGACTTGCACGAGAATGCAAGGGGACTTCGGCGATAACGACAGAGAATCAAGCTTTCCGATGATATCGGCTTTGAACGAAACACTGGGGGCTGTGATTTCGGCTTCCAAGGCGCGAATATCACCTCACCGACGGACAACGTACCGGGCTGGGAGGCGGGGTGGGACTGGTATCCCGCGGGGAAGCCCGCGAGGACGCCCGCCGGGCGGGGAGGGAAGGGGCCGGAGCCGAGGGGGTGGGCAGGGAGGCCTTGCGGCCGCGGCGAGGGAGATGGAGCGTCGCCAGCCATGGTGCTGGCTGGGAGTGGGCGAAGTGTGGTTGTGGAGGGAGGGAAGTCGTGCTGGGAGGAAAGGCGGGAAGTGAGAGGTTTTTATATTAGCATGGAGTGCTGCAGCTAGAGCAACGACGGCAGGAGGGGGTGCCCGAAGGGCTTGTTGAGGCAGGTGCAACGGGGAGGGTCTTATATACGGCTAAGGGCGGGCGACATACACTGCCTGGCCTTGGGCCAGACCGGGACATTTCCCACTTGCCAGAATTTTATTCCCAACTTTGCCTATAAAACTGCCACATACAGTAAAAGAGCTGGAATTCGTGCATTTTCTCCGATAACTTTACCCCGCCCATGGGAACATACATGGATTTCTAGAGCCATTGCTAGGGCCTCAGTAGTTCTGGCCTGTATCACTGTCACTCTTGTCCACTGCACTCCTTTCAATATCTATCCTATGATCACGCCTACCCTGGACGGTCCTGAATAGGCCGTCGTGACCGCGAGAATGAGGAGCCCGTAGGGCGGGAGCTAATAGTAGAGGTGCGGGCTGGGGTAGTAGGGCAACTAGGAGCGAGGGAGGTCGTGACGGGGAGGCGCGGTCTCTGGCGCCACCGGCCTTGAGCTCCTTGATAGCCGGCAGATTGGCCTTCTCACAATCATCACTAGAGCAAGCGCGGTTCAGATCCTCGGCCGTGGCAATGGCCCACAACGCTGGGACGGCGGGAGAGCGGACAGGGGATTTGGCTCACAGTTCATGCCCTTCCTATGGAAGTTGTACAAATGGGCAGTATGGTTTGGGTGCTAACAGATCGGTGTGTTTGAGCTTTTTGGCCGCTTGCTAAAGAGGTGGCGGACAGGGGCAACAAAGAAGAAAGGAGACGCAGAAAAGGGAGGCCTGTGGGATGAATGATACTTGCAGCCTTGATAAAAGGCCAGTATCATGATTGAGGAAATGTACTTCACTATCTATCACAGCGAGCGCAGAAGGCGGTGTCTGTTGTTTTTGGTTTTGTTAGTAGGGAGACCAAGGATAAATTGTGGGAGATATCATTCGCGTTCTGGTCTAGTCTCTTACTGGCCAAGTGGGTGAAAAGCCCTGTTTGGCAACGGGACCTTACAAAGGATGGTTGCTGAGGGACATTCGCCCGGGGCGTAATGCTCGAAGCCATTGCTCCACCGCGGGCAAGGACGCGAGGAAAGCAGGGCAGGTTTTTGGGTATACCTTTGGGGGCGATACCCGCAAGTCCACGCAGAATGAAGTCAGCATCCGCAGTAAAGCTCAGCTCAAGCCCCGAGCTGGCTACCTACCTACCTAGGCAGCAGCTACGCTGAAACCAAGAGCGGCTGCGAGCCTCATCCCGCTTCTTGGCTCACGTTCGTTTGGCGCGACGTCATTGTTTGGTTGTGCGGCCGGCGTATCCTCGGCAGTGGCCGTTCAACCATTTGCCTCTGTGTGCCTGGAGCTAGGCTATTTTGTTCCTACTGGTTCCATCTTCCTCGCTTGCTTCCCACTAGCTATCTTGCCAACTTACCTAGGTACCCATTTACTTACTTCTCTCCCACGCGCCTGTCTGCATCCCCGCCCGACCACCGCCGCCCTGCCCTTACCTCGCGCCCTTCCTGATTCCATACCTACCTTTCACACTCCTGTAGCACCTGGCTTTCCCACGTCGGTACAATGCTTTGTCTCCCAAGCATAATTTCACTCCCACGCGTCCTCTTGGCTATGCCGTCGTGCCTCACTCCCTCCCAGAATTCTGAAGCAACATATCATCTCCCGTCCCTTGGCTTTCCTTCCAGCCCTGACTCTAGTCCTCACTTCTATTATCCCGTGAAGCATTCCTCATCAGTTGTGACATTGGCACACGGCCGCCAGGCCAGGCCATCCGGCTTCTCGAAGTCATGTGGCATGCGCGCCCCTGCCCGGCCTCTCCCATTTTCTGGCTTCCAAGGCTGTCACAGCTGCGAAAGTTAGATCATTGGGCCGCGCCGACTCCTTTATCAAGAAGAGCCTGAAGCCGTTACGCCGGGGATGGCGGGGCATATTGCTGACGGCGCGCAGTTGCTACGTCGGGCTGTATTCCTGTCAGCGTTAATGAGGCAACTCGGCATCGCATTGTCCCTGGCACACGCTTCCAGGTTCTCGCTAAGCAGAGCAGTACTAGCTAGGTAGGTGGCACATCAGAAAGGCACCACCTCGCTCTTGACATGGCCGGTTGTTGCTTGCTCAGCTCGCCTGAGAATCGTGGCAATTTCCCTTGACTCACCACAGGCTAGCTTGCACTCGTCATACATACTGATTTATCTTACTTGCTGTCCGATATCGTCGACGATATGGCGGTCTCTAAATCTAGATAGCGACCCCGCGCTTGAGAAGCAATTCCGTCTACCGCAGGACGCCGCCGCGGTGCCCGGTACGTCCCTCGTGCTCTAGGCCATGCAAGAGAGCTTCCCGGGGAGCTCCGGGGTCCGGGTTGTGCTCGAAAAAACAAGGCAAGGTCCAAGTCGGCGTGCAGGTTGCCTCGGCGGCCCTCGGCAGCACGCAGCTTTATGCCGTCACCAGTATCCTCCCACCTCCGGATCAACACCCACGCCTTCACTGCTTCCCCTTCCCGGCGCCGCGGCCCACAGCGGCCCCCTTCCCGGCTTGACAATGGACTCGCTCAAGATTCGGCCCCCCGCGATAGGAGGTGCTGTCCACTTCAATTTCAGTCGGCGCAGGGGTCTTGATAGTTCTGACCTAGTTCTTGGCACTCTCTGGGCTGGGCACTCTCACGCCCGGACTGGGATGCCACGGAATAAAGGACACGACTGCGGCTCCTAAATACTCGGGGAGCACGACGGGCTTATAGGGACGCCCATGCCAGCCAGAAAAGTGTGCGCGGTCTCTTGCGAAGGGCAGAGTAGTAAGCGATATATGGGTCACTTCGGCTTTCGTTTATGGACTACGACGGAGATTCTTGCCCATTTACCACACCTCAGCCCCTGCCCGACCCCGTCTCCAAGATCGGATCTTCTGAATAGCGTAGCGGAGCTATCTACGATACCCAGGGGCGGTTGGCCGTGTTAAGTGGGTTTTAGGGGCATATGAGTCACACCCACGGGTAGAAAAATCTAACGCCCGGACATAGGAGCCCACCCTGAACCGCTGCTCCATCAAGCCATAAGCACAAAGCAACTTGGCGCAGGGGAAGCGCGCCGGGCTCATAACCCGGAGGTCCTTGGATCGAAACCAAGAGTTGCTAGCTAACTTTTTGCTCGTTAAGCTTATGCGGCATGGTTTTTTTTTGGTTTTTTTTTACACATTGTGGCCGCTCAAGGTTTCCCCCCGGAAGCGTCCAGAAATTATGCGGTACTTTTACGCAGTGTCTCACGGAGTAGGTACCCCCCCCCCCCCCTTATAGTCTGTGTGTTTGGAGCCAAACGGACAGTGGAGCTTCACATTTTTTGGGCCTCACCAGAGAGTACAATCCAACCCGAGAATCCATTCTCCCTAGTCAATTCCAATTCCCCTTCCTCTGAAGAACTGTGTTCAAACGCTTGCTGGGGTACAGATATCCGGCTGCTTGGCTCGCGTTTGCACCGGCTAACCCACCTTGGACGGTTTACGGTGGTGTCTGATGATGGACAACGTGATGATGCGTGTGTAAAGGCGGCAGACGATGAACCGTTGTCATTGTGTTACCAACGGAGCAACAGCCCGTCTTGTACAGTCTGCTTCCCCTTCCTTGTCCCCGAGGCCGCGTGGAGCTCCAGAGCAGGACTCGAATATTATGAGTGGATGGGGGTGAGGGGCGGGTGATGTTAGTGTTTTGTGCCTCGTCGGGTTGCTGGTGCCTTTTTTTTTACATACCTATTTCATGCGGTAGGTCTTGTCGACCTGGGCCGGCCACGGGGATTAGTTTATACGGGTGCTCCCTTCTTCCAAGTTCCCGTTACCACAAACCCCTGCTGCGTCATCCCGATGCATTGCGGCGACATATTGGCAGGGCGAGATTAAAATTAATGTGGGAAAATTAAGTCGCAGTTACTGTAGGTACAGATTGAGGCGTGGTCGGTCTCTGATGAGAGGATCCACAGCCAAAAACGCCGTTTCTGAAGAAATCACAGTGTAGGCCGCGAGAGGGCGCTCTCATCTTAGTCAAGCCTGGGGTCGAGTTTGTTTCAAAAGGGCGACCACGGTAGAAGTAAATTGAGGCCGATAAACCTTCGTTTGCACGTGCAAAATCAACGCGACCCTAAACAAACATGCATTCCATTGGTATCAAACGCCGAAATTCAAAATTCAAGCCGCCGGGGTGGGTGCGGCAGCAGCCTGAGTGGCCGGGGCAGCAGCGGGGGCCGCGACCTCCTCCTTCTTCTCCTCTTTCGCAGGCTCGACAGGCTCGGCGGCGGCGGCAGCAGGAGCTGCAGCGGGTGCGGGTGCGGCGGGAGTGGCAGATTCGGCAGGGGTGGTAGCAGCGGGCTCGGGGGCTGCAGCCTCTGCAGCGGCGGCAGTAGCGGGCTCGGGTGCGGGAGCCTCTGCCGTGGTCTCCTCCTTGGCCGGCTTAGTAGCTACGACAGCCTCTAGGGCCGGAGTGGGTGCAGGAGCAGCCTCAGCGGGCTTCGCCGCCTCGACCACAGCGACGGGGGTGGCCGCGGGAGCAGCAGCAGCAGCAGCAGCGGCAGCGGGGGTAGCAGGCTTCGCAGGCTTTACGTCCTCGGCAGGCTTCGCTGGTGCGGCAGTCGCGGCGGCAGGGGTCTCAGAGACAGGAGCGGGGGCGGCAGCAGCAGGGGTGGTGCCGTCAGTGGCGGCGGGGGCCGCAATCACGGGAGCCGCTGTTGCAACGGCGGCGGCGCTGGCTGCGGTAGTTGTGGCTGCGGGGGTCGTGGTGGACGCAGCAGGCTTGCTGGACTTCTTGCCTCTGTCCTTGAAGGCGGCCTTGAGCTTCGCCTTCAGAAGGTCCAAGGCATGGAGAGCTAGATTGCGGCCTGTTAGTCGCCTGCACTGGGGCTTCATCGCTTCATGGACGTCTCGGACGATTGGCACGTTTGCAAATAAAAGCAGGACGGGCTGCCAACTCACGGATTCCGGGCATCTTGAATATCGGCGTGTCTTGCTCTGCTGCAGTGCCCAGTGCAGGAAATCGTGGGGAGCTGGGTCAGCTGGATCTACGCCAGAACTTGGGATTGAAAGCAGAGGAGAGGTGTGAGCGAAAGGTGTGAGCACAAAGTGCGGAATGAGGTAGGGATGGCGATTTAAATACCCACCAGCCCTAGTCTCGCAGGGGAGGGGAAATCAACCGAGCCGGCCAGTGGGATACGAGCGGGCAAGGAGTGAGGGGAGGGCGTGGGCAAGCGAGGGCAGGCGGATGAAGTGGAATGAACGATAAGGTGGCAGCAGGGAGTTGCATGCATTGTGCAGCAGATCGCAAGCCTGGTTTTGGGGAGGGTCGCTTCACCGGCCGACCACAATGCGACCCCGACCTGTGTGGTCGGCCTGGGGGGCCCTGTGAGGGACACGCCAGCCGTGCCAGCGTCACCCAACAATGACAATCTGCTGGGCTGAAACGGTGCGACCATGTTGGAACTGCTTGATCTGGCCGACCCTGTCCGCCCAGTCCAACGCCCATGGGCTGGCTGCTAGGCCATGGCTGGAAAGACGCAAGCCCCTGAGGATGAGGGATGAGGAGCTGGGGTCCAATCGATGTCGCAATCAAACTAGCGCATCTCCATGGATGCGGAATCGAGAGGCAGCCAGCCCGGCACGCACAGGTTGCAGGCTGTCTGTACTATGCCGTGCTGTGCTGTCGTAAATCTTGTGCAATCGGCACCGACATGAAAGACTGGACGCGGAGTCACCGTGTCGCCGCTGTGGGTGCAAGTCCATGCGCTCAAGTTGAAACTCAGCCCTGGATGCCTCCAGGCCGTTAGGCTGGGTTCCCTCACACGGCAGCCCCGCCTCCGCAATCCATGGTTGCTCTTGCCCGCCTTCCCAACAGGAAGTCCGGGTACGGAAACATGAACAGAATGGGCGGTGGCTGCACCCGAATTCCAGTTGGCAGCTGCATCCCAACTGCAACCGCGCCTTCCCGCCATCAGCCAGTCAAGGCCAAGCTTTTCCAGTAGTCGCTAGGCGCTAATACCTCCACCTTGCATTGCGGTTTGACAGGTCTGGAATTGCGGAGGCTTCTTCCCCTCGATCATCCAACGGCACAGCCGCAATGCCGCCGATCACCTTGGCGCGGGCCTCAATACAGATCCGGGTCCAATGACTAGATATCGACTGAGACCTTGCAAAGCCAAGCTTGGAGGCAGCCAGCCGCGTGGCTACCCAAGTCAGAAATACCAACCGCATGGCACCAATACATTTCAGTGACAACTCTAGAACCGCAAACATGGTGACAACAGCCTGTTCTATAAATCTTGGTGGTGAGCTTTGTGAGCAACTGGTGGGTTGCAACACCCCTCGGTCAAACACCCCTCGGTCAAACACCCCTCGGTCAAACTCCCTCAGATCACCACCACTATGAACAACATGGCCGCACATTCGATCTACCAGCCTCTCAATCAATCGCGACAGGAAATCCGACTCATCGAAATCACCCCCTTCGACCCCGCAGACAAGTCATCTGTGATCGACTGCAAGCTTCACGTGGTCTCCCTGCTCGACAAGCCGGAGTTCGTCGCCTTGTCGCACGCTTGGGGGGATCCAGCGGCTACAAACTGAAATCACCATCAATGGCGCGCCTTTCAGTGCGACGGTAAACCTGGACGCCGCACTCCGGCAGGCCGTCCGCCACTCGTGGCCCCAGATCATACGCGAGGCCGCTGCGGCCAGCCACATACAGGACATGATCGAGATAGGCGGTCCGCCTCGGCCCGAATGGGATCACAGGGCTTACTGGGCAAGCATGATCAGTAATATTACGGCGCAGATGGATTTCAGCCACGCCGGCTGCCCCCTGTTCTTGCGCTTCTAGGCGGATGGCGTTTGCATCAACCGGGCAGACGTGGACGAGAAGGCTAGCTAGATTCCGCTTATGGGGGAAATCTACTCGAGCGCCAGGCTAGTCGTTGGCTCTTTGGGCGATGGCAAGGACCCGAACCTAGGCACGGGCCTTCAGGTGCTCATCGACGTATGCAATGCGTTTGCAAGGGAGAAGGCTGACATGATTCAGGAAATGGCCTTCACTTTGATTCATGATCCGGAGACCTCCTTGGAGTTCGAAACCGCAATCTGCCACGAGTTTACGCGTGAGAGCGCGCGAGACCCAGTCACCAAAGGGAAATGGCGAAAGTTCGGACACGCTGCTTCGGAGCAGGCCGTCTATCACATTGGCGACAGCTTTGAGTGGTTGAAATCACTCTCTTACCTCCTCGAATCGCTGGAACACTGGATGACATTCTGCGCCTTGGCAACTTCGGCTTTCTTTTTCCGCGTCTGGATCGTCCAAGAAAGACATCTCGCAAAATCCCTTATCGTGGTGACCGACGACCGCTGCTCCGACTGGAGGAAACACCGATACGAAATACTGGCCATGGCGCACTGGGAACCAAAGGTAAAGCCAGCGGAAGGAGAAACTGTGTACCCGGCCAGGCGCCGGCGTATGATCGCCCAGTTCTGCAGATGATACCTCCCTGAGTTGGCTCTCGACGCAATGTTCACCGCCCAAAACCAAAATACCAGCTGGCTGGTGCACTCTGTGTCCGGATTGGAAAAGGAGGCGACGGACAAACGCGACCACGTCTATGGCCTTTTGACCGTCTCGAAGCTTCCAATACCGATCGACTACAATAAGCCGGTCGGGGAGGTCTTTGCCGCCATGACGATGGAGTGTCTCTGGAAAGATGCTGTCGCCCACCTGGACGACATCCTCGGCCTGGCCGGCATAGGCCTGCCGTCCTACACCCCTGACATGCCGTCGTGGACCCCCTTTCCCCAAAAGAAGACATTCGCCAAAATACCTTACAGCATGTTGAGGAAGGGCCAAAGCGCGTCTTCGGGGCTGTTTGAGCAGGAGCAGAAGTTCGTGTTCGGCCCACAAGACCTCACCATAACGTTGCGTGGTGTCGTGATGGTGAGCGTCGTCCGGGAACGGGCCATCCCGGATAATGTCGCCCTTTACGGTGGCAGCATGCTGAGTTTTCTGCACGACGTCCTGACCGAGGACTTCATGCCTGCTGATGGGGTCTAGGCCGGCAGGCGAGCCTGGCGTGTGTGGCACGCAACGAAGAGGGCCAACCGATCAGGGTATGCTCGCCAAAAGTGGCCCTCGCGTTCAAGCGCTGGATGGAGGAGCCGCCGTTTGACGGCGAGCCCCCCGGCTTCCGCCGCTAGCTGGCCATCCAGTTCGCCGAGGCGCTAGGCCCCTCGATCCTGGTCGAGAACTGGCTGCCCGAATACACCGAGGAGGTTGACCTCGAGCTGCTGGGGGAGTATGCGGGGGTGCGGGGGCACTCCCTGTTTGTGACCCAGGAGGGCTACGTAGGCCGCGGGCCGCGCGGTCTGCTGCCGGGGGACGTCACCGCCGTCCTCGAGGGGTCGCGGATTACCGCGCTGCTGCGCGAGAACCCGGACGCCGAAAGCTTCCGCCACGTCGGGACGTTTTACGCCTACGGCCTCAATGACGGCGAGGCACCCAGGTTTTGGATTGAGCAGGGCTATACGGAGATCGCCGAATTCACCTTAAGGTAGTCGGAGATGTTGATCTCGGCATGATAGGGGAGCTCCAAGTTTTTCCTGATGTGACGTCTAGTATCGGTGGTGTGGTTTGAGAGCGAGACAAGTCAATAGAGCGAATAGATTTGCGCGACCCTAACACCTGCCTTGTAGAACCTGTTGCTGCGTATGAGCCGCGCGGAGCGATGCCCTCCGGCCTAGGGTCCCGAAAAGGTCGTCAACAATGGATTGGCAAGCATACCTGCTCGCGAAAACTGTAGGACCTAGGGTATCTGCGACTTATGAAAAAAACCTTTGGGGCGCCATGCTATCCATAACGCCAGCTCGAAAAACCACATGCAAGATTCCCGCACAAAATGCAAAAGTTGGAAGTCTCAAATAACTCGACGCGTCCAAACCGGTAAGACGACCGACATTTTTAACGACGCCGGTCCTTCGCGGCGCGGACTCGGTCGAGGTAGTCCTGGGCGTTGGAGGCCAGCTTGTCGTACAACAAGAGGCTGCGGAGGCTTCCCATGTGCCTGACGTGCGCCGCGAACTGAGCCTCGTCATCGGCGGGGATCAGTGGGACCTCGCCGCGGGACAGCCTGTAAAGCGCGGTGAGGCCCAAGGAGACACCAGTGCCGATATCTCCCATGGTCTTGTCACGCTGGGCCTCAGTGATGTCGGAGGAGTTGTACTCGTAGCGGAGACCTGCCGGATCCTCATCGGGGGAGTCGTGCTCGTCGCGGAGACCGGCCGGAAGCTCATCGGAGGGGCCGCCTCCACCGCCGCCATCCTCGTTCTCCAGGCTCTTCTTGTACGCCTCGCAGGCGTCCACAAAGGTGTCGTGAGCCTTCGCCTCGTACTTGGCGAGCCACGCCTTCCAGGTCTGCGTGGGGGGTTAGAGAGGTATACGGGAAAACGAGTCAAAGAAGCAAATACTCACAACGAAAGTGGCATCTCCACTCGGGAACTTGGGAGCTGTGAACTCGCTAGCCCAACCATACTCCGAGCGCGTGATAAGGGAAGCCGCGGGGTCCCGCTGAGCTTCTCGGACCTCAGCAAGCTCCAGCGCGGCGTCGACGAGAGCGACACCAGAGGCTGACGCGACCTTGCCGGCGGCAAAGGTGCACTGGCCGTCCTTGCCGGCCTTCTTTGTATCGCAGCAGTAAACGCACTTCTTCGATTTAGAATCTAAACGGAACGAAGCGTTAGCCAAACCGCAGAAAGGTCACGGATATGAAAAAAGGGATTGGTAACTTACTGGTATCTTGCTGGCAAAGCCTGTCCAGCGACCGCTCGTTTGCCAACATACGCAGGCAGGTGGTGCAACTCTTATTGCGAGACGAGACACTGGAAGCACGGGTTAATGGGACGTAGCGGGGAGAGGAGGAGAGGAAGAGCCTACAGACGGCGCGCCTTGCGGCGCTTGGCGTTGCCCGCGTCGGCGGGGGAGGAGCTGCGCTTAGGCATGGCGTCGGAGGCGCGATTGGGCTGGTAGACGCGGAGTGGCAGCGAAAACGAAGGAGGAGGGCGCACGTCTGCGACAAATACCGAGTTAGGGGGGTTGCGAGGTCGCGGAGGTTTGGGAGGATTCCGCTTACTAGACCGCCTCTGCTGTTGTTGTTGTTAAGTGGAAAAGAAAGAAATTAACAGAAGGAAAACAGGCGAGGGAAGAGCTCTCTTAACAAGAAGTAAACTTATGAAAATGGAAGGCGCGACGACTTCTTCGGACCTGCCCATCCACCACCGCACCGAACCGAACCACTAAATACCCAGATAAATGCCACCGACCAAACACGGATACCTCGCCTAGACCAAAATAACTTTTTTTCTCTTCTCCCATTACCATGCCGGGCATAGCTGCCTCATATCTCTATCACACCCAGGCCGTCCCGACGAGGCCCTCTGCTCTTTACATATTTGTCGTTGCCTTTTACCAAACATTGCCTCCACTACGCCGACCACATGCTGCATGATTTGTATATGCCGGTAACGTCCGGTGCCGCCATCGGGGCTGAGCGCTTAATCCAACGGCGCTGAACCCCTAAGTGTGTACGCTTAATTTTCAAAAGTACGGTGGTGGATTATATCATCCGACAAGGGCGCGGGACTTTCGGAAACCTTGATAGGGCTTTTTTTTCTCCGGCTATTATACGGCCGCCGCGTTGGAAGCACAGTTTTGAGGTTACAGCTGATTCAATCCGCACCTACTCACTCCCAATGGACCAACAGGTCGAAAAGGGGAATGATGCATATGTATCTGGGCATGGCCGGCAAAAAGCCTTTGGGAATACATACGCAAGCTAAGCGGCCGCTGTGGAGCTGGGTCTGACGAACAACATGAGGTGTGACCCGTCAATTCTCCCCTTTCTATTTAGGGATGGAAGCAGTAATCATCTTCGGCGTTGGGGGTGGAATGCTGTCTCACCTGAAGAGACGAAACTGGGGCGGGCCGACAGAACGTTTTGGGAGGGCTCGGAAGCCAATCTTGGACAGAGTCTAGTCCACCGCCCGACAGCATGGGAAAACGACCGCGTGTGCCTGAGAACGGGCTTATCCCAACATAGAACGGATCAATCTGGCGTGAAGGCGATCGATAGATTCAGGCTAGAAGATAGCAAATATGAAAGAAAGAGGAACCGCGGCTCTACCAACTTCTAAGAAGCAACGTGATGGCTAAATCAGCAAAGGCAACCCATCGTACATGTTCTGATGTCCCACGCGGGGTACAAATACAGTCGCAAGAAAACCCATCCCATAGCATGATTAGTCGTTCGAACGAGGAACCCCCAATCCCCTTCTACGTCGGGCGCTCATCCTCAGCCAGCTTGCACCGACGCGCCACCGCCCGTCTCTGGCCGCGGCGTCGAGTGGCCCGTGCCTGGCCTGCTAGCCGTCGTCGTCATGCGCCGCGCCTTCTTGGAGCCCTTTGGGTCGAACAGGCTCTTGACGCGCCGCAGCCGCGCCCAGCGCTCCTTGTCCTTGGCGTCCCGCGTCGCCTCGTCCTCCTCCGGCTCCTCGTCGGCCCCGGCCCGCGGCGGTGTTGTGGCTCCCGCTGCCGCCGCCGTCGCCGTAGTAGAGGAGCGCACGGGCGTCGTCGGTGCCGTGGCCGCCGGCACCGGCTGCCCGCCCACGCTCTTGGACCCCTTATGCCCAAAGAGCCGCGAGCCCACGCCGCCGCCGCTGTTGCCGCCCTTGGCGCCCCGGTTCCGGAGGTAGGCTTCGTTCTTGACGACCTGCGCCAGGACCTGCCAGCCCGCAAGGCGGCTGCTGCTGTTGGTGCTGCTCCCGCCGCCGCCGCCGGGGTTGCGCTGGACCTCGGCGTTGTTCCAGGGGCAGAAGAAGCGGTGCTCGCGCAGGGGGTCGAGGTGGTCCATGGCTGCGGGGACGAGCACCGCGTTGGTGTCTGGGTCGACCTCCTTGCTTTTGAACATCCAGAGCCCGAGCCGGCGCAGGCACGTGTGGCAAGACGCCGAGTTGGGCACCGCGCCGATCTTGGGGTTCTCGAGGCCCTGCCAGCCCATCAGGGCGAGGGCCAGGGCGGAGCGGTTCGGCGCGGCCGTTGGTGCGGGCCCGTCGGGGAGCCCACGGGGAGGTGCCGGCCGCGGCGGCTCGGTAAAGAAGCTGGGCGGCAGATCGCGGAGGATGGCGTTGAGGTCCAGCGACTCGGGAAGGCGGAGGTTGAATTCGTAGGGCAGGAAGTCCTTGCGGAAACAGAGCTCGTCGTACCTCTTCCGAAGGCCTTCGAGCGCGGAATGAGAGTTTGCGAGGGGTAGTCGGATAAGGTGGTCTTGTCAACGGGTGTTAGTTCCGGTTTGATCCTGCCTCCTCAAGCACATGCCTGGGGGGATAGGGCTGGTAGCACTTACCATCACTGCCTCGTTTTCTCCACAGGCAGTCGTCCTGATGCGCCTCGACCATGAGCTCGACGTACTTGTCGACGAGCGCATCCTCAATCTCCGAGGCCACCAGCACAGACACCTCCTTGCCGTCGACTACCTTGCGGTTCAACTTGACGACAAGCTCCTTGCTGCACAGCGTGCAGCGCAGGCGCTCCTTTCCCTGGCAGACCCAGCCGCGCTTAGCCCACTCGATCTCGTTTACCCGGTCCGGCTTAGGCGTCCAGTCCGTGATCTCCTGGAAAGTCGCCAACCGACGGACCAGCTCGTCGCGGTCGCCGGGGCAGTACCGTGGAGCCGAGGAGCCCGCTTTATCCCGCCCCGCGACCAGGGAGGTCGAGGAGGACAAGGAACCAATTGTCCGCCGCAGCGTCACGCCCGCTCCGCCGCCGACGACAGAGATGGAGGGGCTGTCGGCGCGGTCTCCGGCGGGCGTCGAGCTGGGAGTCCCTACTCGGCGGCGTTTGAGGTAGTCTGCGGTCGCTGCGGAGGCGGAGGGTGAGTTCGAGAACAGGCGCATCGTGGCGGGGTCGTTTGTGTCGTTGTTCGCGGCCGACGGTGTCCTCGAGATCATGGGAGAGCTCCTGGAGGCCAGAGGGGAGCTGGCGGGGTATGGACTGGCGGGAGCGGCGAGCGATGCTGGGGTGGCGTGGATGTTGTCCGAGGAAGGGGAGGCCGCGGGGGAGGTAGGACGGGCGCCGATCCCCTGGAGGAGGGCGTTGAATTTCCGTTTTGTCGCATTCATTTTGCTGGTTAGTCGCTGTGCTGGGCCGCTGCTGGGCTCGCCACTGCCTGCCCTTCTGAAACGAGGGCTTGCCGTGTTCTGGGATTTTCGTGTCGCGCTGTTTACCCGCTTCCGGCAACCCTGCTAATCACAATCACAATCAGGCTAGAAGGGAGGGTAGCATGCGATGGTGCTGGCCGAGCTGTGTGTGTATTGTCTGAAATGGTGAAATGGATTGCAGGATCCCTTGCAGCTCACAGCTGAGCCCGCGAATCACTGCAGGGCGCGCTGAGCTAGGCTAGCGGTTGCCATTAACAACGGCTGATGCCAGGCGAGGACGCTAGAGCCACTCGTGGGCCCACCAGTCCCCAGCTAGGACCCACTAACCGGCCAAGCATAGCATCATCCCGGCAGTCGGTCCCGCGCTCAGTCCGGCTGTTTTAACGGCGGGGCAAACCCTGCCGCTGCCGCCGCAAAGTGACGTGGGGTGGGTACCGGGAGAAGAATCGGCGCCATCCTTCCAAGTTATATTGTGTTGAACCCGCCCCGACGCCACGTATGCAGAACCAAGGCGTCAATAAAGGCAACCGAACCCCCAGGCTCTCCCAACGGCTCTCGCTCGGAGCTGTCCTCGTCCTAACCCTGGCTGTCCTGTTCACCAAAGCACTGCCCCGCCTGTCTCTCCTTTCCCACCAGCTCCGGCCACGGTTCTCCCAAGCAGCCACCGGCGCCATGTCCTCCGCATACGAGAAGGAGCTCGAGGTGGCGCAGCTAGCGGTCCAGCGCGCCGCAATCCTGACCAAGCGCGTCTTTAACGAGAAGGCCAAGGGCACCGTGTCCAAGGTCGACAAGTCCCCCGTCACCATCGGCGACTTCGGCGCCCAGGCCCTCATCATCAGCGCCCTGCAGGCCAACTTCCCTGCCGACGAGATCGTGGCTGAGGAGGAGGCCGACTGGCTGCGCTCCGACGAGGCGCTCAAGCAGACCATCTGGGACCTGGTCAGCACCACGAGCCTCGAGGACGCCGCGGCGGAGCGGCTCCTCGGCGGGGCCATCAAGGACGCCGCGGCGATGCTGGACGTCATCGACCTGGGCAAGAGCAAGGGCGGCGCCAAGGGCAGGATATGGACCATCGACCCCATCGACGGCACCAAGGGCTTCCTCCGCGGCGGCCAGTACGCCGTCTGCCTGGGCCTCATGGTCGACGGCGACGTCAAGGTCGGCGTGCTGGGCTGCCCGAACTTGCCCGTCGACGACGCCGCCCCGCTCACGGCCGACGTCGGCGCCTCGGGCCGCGGCGTCCTCTTCTCGGCCGTCCAGGGCCGCGGCGCCACCAGCCGGCCACTGACCGCCGGCGCCCTGGCCGCCCCCGCCAAGCCCATCTCGATGCGGCCGCTGGCCGCCGACGGCCTCGCGGGCGCCGCCTTTTGCGAGAGCGTCGAGGCAGGCCACTCGTCGCATAGCGAGGCGGCGCAGATCGCGCAAAAGCTGGGCATCACGGGCGAGTCGGTGCGCATGGACTCGCAGGCAAAGTACGGCTCCATCGCCCGCGGCGCCGGCGACATCTACCTCCGCCTCCCCACGTCGGCCACGTACCAGGAGAAGATCTGGGACCACGCGGCCGGCGACCTGATCGTGCGCGAGGCCGGCGGCCAGGTCACCGACACCCTGGGCAGGCGGCTGGACTTCTGCAAGGGGAGGACCCTGGCCGAGAACAAGGGAGTCGTTGCAGCGCCCGCAGCTGTGCATGACCAGGTACTCAAGGCCGTGACCGAGGTGCTGTACGGCAAGAAGACCGGCGACGTCATATGAATGGTTCCGACGTTACAGGAAATTGCTATACTATAGCACGCCCACCTCAAAAAAAAACCGGCAATTCCATTAAGGGATGTGAACAGGAAGAGGTCCTGAACGAAAGATGAAATAGAAAGAAAATATAAATAAAAGTACGAATAAAAACGGGAATAGGACTAAGAATGATTACAGGAAAAAGATATAAGAACAGGACAGCTTACGGCACTAGTAATTTTACTTGATCCTCGGACCTAGTGTGTAACATTGCCGTTTTTTTTATGGTGGGCGTGTGTAGTCACAAGAGATTCAGGCCCGGGCCATTCCATCTCCTTGCCGGAAAACACAAGCATGTAGACATATATAACAATGCACTCCTGGCATAGCTCGTGCTTGGCGCAGCATGCACATGATGATTATACAAAGAGCAACCATATGCTCCATAGATGGCGTCCGAATGGACGAAAAGGGACCCTGATGCCCACGTCCTGTTTATTTTACCTTTTTCTGCTTCAGCTTGATGGTTTCGTTGTTGACAAAGATGCCCTTGCCCTTGTACGGCTCGGGCACACGCCACTTGCGGCACTGGGCGGCAAAGGACATGACCTCCTCTCGGTCGATGCCCTCGAGCAGGATACGGGTGGGCTGCGGGGTCGAGGCCTTCATGCCGAGCGGGAGGCCCAGCTCGACCGGGTGCGAGAAGCCGAGCTTGAGGCAGACGAACTTCTGGCCCGGGTACTCCTGCTTGTCGGGCCGGTCCTCGACTGTGGCCCTGTAGCCGATGCCCACCAGGCGCAGCACGGCCGTGTGGCCCTCGGACACGCCTATTATGTGCCGCTGGATGTACGCCCACGTCGTGCCCCACATCTCGCGCTGGTTCCTGTCGTCCTGGTCCTCGACGCTCAGCGTCGTCTTGCGGGCCTCGGCGTCGTGGTCGAAGCGCACGAAGGAGGGGACGTCGAGGTTGAGCTTGCCTGGCGAGAGGGCGGAGGTCTAGAGTCAGCGATCCGAGTGAAACTCCCGTCGCCGCCGCCGCAGGGGGCGGCTCATTTCGGACTGACCTAGTGGCCCCTGGACCGTGACTGTCCTCTTCATGATCTTCAGGTATGTGGTCGCGTCCTTCTTGAGCCACGGCTCGCTGACGGCGACCTCGACGCCGGGCGGGATCGATATCGGGGTCCGGCCGAGCTTGGACGGCCTGCCCGCCGAGGCGGAGAAGTGCCTCGCGGGGGCGTGCAGGGCCGGCACCAGGAAGCTGGGTAATGAGACGGCCGGGGGGCTGGCGGTCGCCGTGGCGTCGACGGCGCGGGCCAAAGCCCGGCCTTGGCTTCGTGCAAACATTGGGTGCTGCTGCGTCGTGGGGGACGGCCAATTGGCGATCACCAGTCTTGAGGGGCTGGTCGCGCGGCTCCCCTTGCCGACAAAGCTCTCTCTCGCAACTTTTCCGAATTCCATCATCACGTGATGTCGCGGGAGCTTGGTGTGCTGCCGTGGTTTTGCCGTGCAGCGGGGACACGAAACGTCGGGTGCGCCGTTGCGACAACGTTTCTGCGACCATCTCCAAGCAGCGACACCAAGGGCTGACAGAGTTATCTTTCGAATATGATAAAGAAAGAAGAACCAAACTGTTTGATATTTGGCTAGGTTGAATTCCGCTTATGCATGCCTCCTCGAGTAGCCCATGATTGTAAACTTGTATTTTTAGTCCGCTGTTTTGTTAATCGGGGGTTCATCTTGCCCCGTTTTCCACGTCCGTCTGTCGTTCACTCCTTCCTCTCATGTGAATTATCGCGATATGCTTTGGGGTCATGGTGCTCATGGACCCACACTTGCCGTCCTAGAACCGGGCCCGATCTTCAGTCTTGATCTGAAATTCCTCTCAGCTTTCCATCCTGAGGACTTTTCTCCCACCTCGTCGCCCCGCGCAGCGAGCTGTCACTTTCTTGCAGACCGAGGTCTGGCTTCCTTCATCCTACCTGGGGCAACAACAACACGTCTTCATGCTCTTCTATTCACTCCAACAAGCTCACTAATCCTCGAAAGTAACGCCGGAGCCATGCACTGCTTCGGCGTCGCAAAAGCGGCACGCTTCCTCCTGCTCTTAGGGCTGTGGGCGCACTGCGCCTCTGGCCTAGGATGGGGTCGTCGTCAGCGATCTCCTGCTCATGAGCCTGCTCAGCAGGTGACCAGTAAGTCAATGATCACTTTACTACCGCCATCCTCCCCAGGTGCCTCTCTCAAGCCGGCACACTAACTTTGAGCAGGCGGATTATGGGTCGCACCATCAGTCGGCTTTCCGTCGTCTGAGTCCACTGAGAAGCGTCTCCGCCTCCCAGATGTCTACGTTGCGGCTTTGCGGGAACTTCAAGAGCTCGAGTCGGAGCCTCTATGCCACAGGATCGCCGCCCGTCTGCTTGTCACGAATTGTCAGTTGGTCGACGGCAAGGATGAGGCCACTGTTCTCACGGACAGCGGAAGACAAGTTCGAGACTTCATCGAGGCCTATGCAGCGAGTCTAGCACTGTGCGACCTGGAACGGGGCGGTTTCCAGATCTCGCCTGCCTGCTCGCCCTTCAGAGAGCCGGTGCTGTCTAGGATCTCAATCCATGAAGATGCTGGCCTGCACGTCTCTTCCTCGCAAATCCAGACATGCATATCCAGTCTCCGCTCTCCTGACTCAGCCTGGGGAACCTACATCAGCTATCGTCACAAAGCACTCCAGTTCTGCGAGGCCGCCAGGGTAGACCAAGAAAAAGGTGGGAGTTGCAGCTGCAAAACACCTTTTCAGAATGCCTCGCTAACACATATGCTAGCTCGAAACATACTTGTCTTCCAGAAGCTCGTCAAGGTGACGGAACAGCTGGTGCGCGGTGTCGAGATCGATCTGCAAGCCCGCATGGATGATCTAGATCTGAGGACCAATCAGGCTAGTCAGGCACTTGATCAGCTCAACCCCAAACTTGACAGTCTGCGTGATGGCCTGCGAGACATGCAGATGAATCAAGAAGGCCTCAAGCGGTCGTTGCAAGCCTCATCCGCCCTCGTCCGCGGCGGCCTGGAAGACGCAACCAGCCTCCAACAGCTCTTGAAAATCATTGTCGATGCCGCCCTCGACCAGAACTCCCGATTCGCCGCAGCCCACGAGCAATCCATTTCTCGGGTCGCGCGTGTCGACAGCGCGACCGAGAAGGCCGCCAAGCAGATGGACCTACTTGTGTCTGTCATGACCACCACCGCAGCGTCATCCATATCGCTTCATCGGCAGCTTGTGAGTCATCCACTTCCGTCATATGGTGGCTGTTGCTGACAGCGAAATAGGAAATTTCCCGCCTCCAGGCTACTCAGCTCGCAGAGAGGCAGGACTTTGTTGAGACGGTAAGATCTCTGGCTCCAAATCTGTGCCGGGTGCCCATGCTGACTTTATCAGGGCCTGATTCGGCTGGCAAACTTGACGGAAGACCTCGCATCCAAGTACGAGAACCACACCAACAGCATCCAGTCCGTGCACAACCTCACGCAGAGCCTCGTTGGCACGCTGACTGACGCAAACACCATGGCTTCGAACGCCAAAAACGCACTCTTTTCGTGGAGCAGCAACTGGCTACCTTACGCACTCTATCCTATATTTTTTGTCCTTGCAGGATCCTACGGCCTCTCGCCATCCATCTTCCGGAACCTCTGGCTGGCGGCTCTTAGCGAGGGCGTTGCCGTGACGGTCGCATCTTGGGATGCGTGGGTAAACTACTTTCTGTCTTTCGTGGGGGCGTGAAACGCTACTGGAAGCATATTCTTCTTTGAAGACCAGGGGATTAGGGCCCGGCGCACCCTTCTTTGCTCCTGATAGCTCTCGCGAGCTCGCATCTATCATCATATGGGGTGGTCTCGGTACACCACAGCGGGAGCTCTTTGGCTCTTCCTCTTTTGTTATCCAACATCTCTATCATTTTGCTCCATCTTGGAACCGACAACAACGGAGTTGGGGAGAAACTAGGGACGGGATATGGCGGACTCAGTATTTCCTTTGGATTTTCGGCTAGCTGGACATGGCTGCTTGAAGGGACCACAGAACAGAGCATATTCTATACCAATCCATAGCCGCCTGCAAATGAAGAGAAAAATCTCCCGTGAGCTTTAAGAGGCACGTTGATCGTGTAGGTCTTAAGTTTCTAATGCGAGGCGGGGACAACGAACGACACAGACAAGGACTTGGATGTGGATGTGGAATGCGCGCGCATTTCGTTTCAATGACCATGATCTCAAAGGCGCTGCCCATGCCAGCCGCGCGGCCGCCGGTTGGGCCCAAGGACGAATGAGACGGATCACACTTTCCTATTTCGGCGTTTCTCGCTGTCAGCTGGGGCCTGTCAAGCTTTGATCGCCCTTGGTTCCCCAGTTCTTTTTGCCCAAGCTAACGGTCTGACGGCACGGCGGTTAGCGACACGCGGCTTTGGCGTTTCTGCGCGACGAAACCGAGACGTCACTGACGCCTTTTGCGGGGACGAGGGGTCCAGAATACAACAGTGTAGCCACAGGGCCACCCTTTGCTCGCTTTCACCCCTTGTGTTTCGCGTGGGGACGTGGAAAAATACACCGTTTCTCGCGTGCGCGCGGAGATCCGAGAAGGAAAAGAAGAAGAAAACTCCGCGGGAATGCTTTCTCAATGCAGGTTGCCGCACCGCGTCAATGCGGTGCGGTATGTTTCCGGCCCCCATTTGGGTGTGTCATTGGGGCCCCCTCAAGGGTCGCGTTGCAGATGACGGCCGACTGAAACGGGGCGGGTTCCCGAGGACGACGATTGACGCCGACGGGGCGACCCCCCCTCCCCTATATAGCCCGACCAGGCTTGCCTCCTGCGGGTTTGCAGATCCAGGTCTTGGCTTCATCAATCCCAGCGGTTGTGTTTTTCCTGCTTTCTTTTTTCTCCTTCTCGTCCTGTCGGGCCGGCCCCATCAAATTTCCTTGTTTCTTCCGTTACTTTCGCAACAAAGTCATCATGCTGGCCATGATCTTCACCCAGCTCCTCGCCCTGTCCGCGGCGGCCGCCGCCATGCCCGTGCCGCTCGGCCGCCCGGCGACCGGCAGCTCGGTCGACAACATCGCCGCGCTCGAGGCCCGGTTCCCCAAGCTCGCCAGCGGCGGGGCGGCGGCGGCGGCACACAACAGCCTGGCCGGGCGCTACGCCGGCAGGCGATCGCTGCCGATAATGGTTCCGGAGCCGTCCCAGAAAATCAACATCCGGCGGTCGCCCGAGGAGGAGGCCGAGATCGCCAGGCGCGGATACGCCGGCAGGCCGATGCCCAAGAGAGCGTCGCCGCTGCCGCCGAGGAATAACTGACGGGTGGGTGGTCCGAGCAGGGGAGGCTGGGGGAGTTGGGACGGTCAGCAGGATGTGATGGGGTGTTTGGTGTTTGGGGCTTTTCTCTTCTCTTCAAGAACCCGAGGAGCCAGGATTGGACTGGTTCCTCTAAATTCTTGCCAATTTATCATTTCCACCACCTTGCCATCTCTCGATGCTATACACGGATTGATCATAGACTCTTCACAGCCACTGAGCTCCTTTATATGGGCAAAAGCCCCCTCTGGAGAGGTCTCCAATGAAGATGGAGGCGCACAACGAATAACGCCCAGGCAAACGTCCGGGGGTTGGTGCCTCACGATCGGATAGTCTGGAACATGGGACGCCAGGATGACAGATCTGAGCTTCATCTTCGATTGAATCCATCGTCTCCCCGCACCGAAGAAGCCAGAGGCAAAGAAGGCAAAAAAGCCAGGGGCGGGCCCACCGGCTGGTGCAGAGGCTGCCGCTGCAGTCGCTCGTTAGGCCGTCTGCTGAGCCGGTGGGAGAACTGGTGGGGGAGCGGGTTCGGGGCCGTCTACCTGCATGCCCGGTGTATGTGACTTACAGCAACTGGTGCTCATAGCTCTTTTCCAATACCAGACCTGTTTGCTCGTGTTAGCTGAAGCCAGCCGGATAAGCGCCTTGAGGATATAGAAGTATTCATACCAACGGATACTCCTGAGAGATTGGCTTGTTAAGTAAGCTGATTCTGAGTATTTCTCCTTCCTCGGCGTGCAAGACAGGGCAGGAGAACCGGCCATTGCAAGTGGTGCGAGGCCACCAGCCTCCGCCGTCTACAGCAGATGAGAGTTGTTAGCACCGTACTCTAAAGCCTGACTCACCATCTCGACTCAAGCCGCTTCCCACAGACCACGTACCTGGGTTGACCCATCTCTGCCCAAGGCTCAGATTGTACTGCCGAACCCTCAACTCCCCAACCTGTCCCCCAACCGCAGAGACCAAAGGCGAAGAGGGCTCGGACATGGAAACAGCGCGCGTTGGAGTCTCCTGCCCCAGCAGCCAGCCAAAGGGCGAGTACTGCGCGAGGCTGGCCACAGTGAGGGCGCCCAGGACCAGCAGGATGGCCGCGATCCTGGCCACCACGGGCCGAGGCCGGTTCTTGCTCGCCGTCCGCCTCGGCGCCTGGTGGTAAGAGCTCCGTCGGCGGTACGGCTTGTGCGACCTGCAGGTGCCGTACTTGGTCCCGGCCGGCGGCGGCGGCGGCGGACGGGCGGATGTAACGTGGACGGGACGCTCCATCTCCGCAGGTTCGACAGATGCAGGACCGAAACCCTGTTTTTTTTTCTGTCGTGCGTGGAAACCATTCTACAAACAAACTAGCGCGAGCAGTAGCTCCCATTTTGTGCAGTTGCGATCCCATCACAGGGCACCAGAAGACAAGATGAACCTCCCCTGTCACCCCTCGGACCCCCGCGTCGAGCACCGAAACAGAGTTTGGCGGGCCAAGCGCTGTGCCAGGAGGAAGAGGGGATATTTGGAGAATGCCCCTGTAAAAGATTGAGGACTGACACTTTTGGGGCGAACGTGCAGTCGGGAGTATATTACGCGGCAGTCCTGGCGCGGTTTAAGTTCGGTCGTGAGTCTTGTTCATCCCAAGACCGCACCTAGCAGATGCCTGCCGCCAGCCCCCCTCGGGGCCGGGGTCACCCGCCACCAAACGTCTGTGTGGTGTGGTGGTGTGCCCGGCTGATATGCCCGCCCAGGCCTGGTGCCGGTTCCGCAAAGCTTGGCCGTCGCCGGCAGTCTTGGCCGTCAGGAGACTGACGAACCAAAGAGGTGTCCGGACTGCTCTGAGGGCGTGTCCGCCCCCAGCGATTGGCAGGTCTGGCCTGTCTCATCGGAATTGTGGCTGCGCTCGAAACACGGACAAGCGCGGCGGTGCAAAAACAAAGGGAGACGGGATCATCCTAACTCGGAGTGTTTTGACGCGTGTATAGGCGCGCCGTCGACTACCTTACTCAGGGTCGGGTAACTAAACCACTACTACCTAGGTGCTCCTCCTCCTGCTCAGACAGCCCGGCTTGTGGTCCTCGGGCGGATACACGACGATCCTGTCGATGTCGGCACCCTTGTAGTCGAACCCGTTGTGCAGCCCGCCGATGGAGATGGTGTTGTTGCCGCCCTCGGCCAGCGTCAGCAGCAGCGGCGCCGAGAGCACGACGCCCTTGTTGGTGTCGCGCTGGTACAGCGTCTCGAGCCTGGACTCGTCCCCGTTGACCACGACGCTGGCGATGCGCCGCAGCTGCCACTTGCCGCCCACGCGGTCCGGCGTCCCGCCCGGCTGGTTGCCGAACCCCATGTCGTCCGTGTTCTGGTAGTAGAACGACACCCACTGCGGCTTCCCCGTCCCCTGCACGTTACTAAACGTCACCTTGCTGTCGTTGCCGTGGATGCCCGTGACGATGACGCCGCCGCTGGCAAAGTTGGCCTCCTGCTTGAAGGCCTCGCCCGTCGTGGCCGCGTCCTTGGCATAGTAGGTTGCCACGGGCTCGACGGGCGCCCAGCGGCCCGTCTTGACATTCAGGTCGTACACGTCGTGCCAGACGGCCTCGATGGTCTTCTTGTCGTCGTCGATGACGAGCGGCAGCCAGATGTACCGGCTCTCCCAGAGCGAGTTGTTGTCCCACTGGTCGCCAATGTACAGATGCGTGGTGGCCTCGGTGCCGACGATGCGCAGGCTGAAGCCCGACTGCGAGCTGAAGGTGCGCGTGTAGGGCGGCGCGATGTTGAAGGGCTGCGACCAGGGGCCCGAGAGCGAGTCGGCGCGCATGGCCACGACGTCGTTGGGGCGGTAGCCCGTCTTGTGCGACATGAGCACGTAGTAGGACCGGTCCGTCTGCACGATGGTGGGCGCCTCGAGGTCGTACTTGTGGAAGCGGTGCACGACGGCGTCCAGCCCCGTGACGGCCTCGTTGAAGCTCGCGATGTAGTTGTCGCGCGCCTCGACGCGGTCGCCGTTGGAGTAGAGCGAGTACGACCGCCCGTCCTTGTAGTCGGTGAAGATGCCAAAGTCCTGCGACCAGTTCCCCAGCGGCGTCGTGGCGTCGACAAAGGTGTAGGGGCCCGAGATGTTGGGCGACGTGGCGAGGCCCTGCAGCAGCCAGCCGTAGGTCGAGTTGTCGGCGTGCCACCACATGTGGTAGTTGCCCGTGGCCTTGGAGTGCACCACCTTGGGCCGCTGGATGATGTGCTTGGTGTCGATGTAGGGGTGGCCGGGCACGGGGGCCAGCGCCAGCCCGTGGTGCTCCCACGTCGCCAGGTCGTCGGAGCTGTACGCCGCCACGCCGCCGCCCTCCTCCCGCCCCTGCACCTTGTACTCGCCGAACCACCAGAACTTGCCCGTGCGCTCCTCGAACGTGATGCCGCCCGCGTGCGCGTTGACCAGCTCACCGTCCGTGTCGCGCCACCTCGCCCCCGGCACGATGTACCTGCTGCGCGCCAGCCCGGCGAGGGCGAGCAGTGAGAGTAGCTGGTGCAGGGGTGCCATTGTCCTTGTGGGATGCCTTGTTTAGCACGGCCAGTTTGTGGCGACACTACTTACACCCACACACAATGGTGTCAGAGTGTCCGCCGCCCGCCCTTCTTATAGCCCGCCTTTTAGACGCCGAGAATATTCTGTTTAGCCTTGGGCAAGCGCGCCGCTCCACCGGCGCATATATGTAGCAGCGACCCGGGCTTCTTTACCCCGAGACCCCGTCCCCCCGCACTCACATTTCTCCGACTGGGCTCTTCTCCGCACCAAGGATCCTCATCCAACGCTACCCCAGAGGGTCAACCCAAAAATGAGGTCATTCTATACAATAGAAATATGCGGGGAACGGGAGGCTGGGCGACCATCATCTTATTCCCCATCTTTTACAAGACGATCAGGGGAAACCGGGGCCGGCATTTGGAAGTGTAGGTGTGACTATCGGCACCTTGAAGCGACTTCAAAGCAACCAAGGACCGTAATATTTGCTTGTCCATCGCGCTTTGCGCATGCTCAAACGAATAACCAAACAGCGAATTCTTTCACTCCTTGCCATCGTGAAAGCCCCCAACCCTCCCCCGCGGCGCAGTTAAAACCGTCCGCCAACGGGCCCCCTCGCCAGAACCTGATCTGTCACCACCTTTAGCTTCTCGGACGAGAGCCAGCCCCTGATTATGTCGTCGGCAAATATTCCCTCCCCCTCCTCGACCTTGACGCTGATCCCGCCAAGGTTCTCCAGCGAGCGAGCGCCTTCTTGGTTCTGCTCCGGGTGTTACGCGTCGGGGCGCGCGCATGAGAGAATTCAGCTTCTTGAGGCCTGACGCCTGCCCGTGCCTTGCTCTTCCTAGGCTGTCTCCACCCAGGTATCGTGGTGCTGTGCCGGGTACGTCGTCGTCCTACTCATGAGGCACATCTTAGCACCGGCACGATGACGACGACATGTCCACCCAGATGCCCTTCATCTAAGAGGTGCATCTCTCGGGTTCGATCTCGGTCATGAGAGCTTCATGGACTCCTTCAAAATATTTGGCATTTCCGAATCTACCCAGCGGGACAGCTCAGTTAGGAATTACTTGAACCGAGTCTGGCGTGACGGAACGGCGACATGGAAGTGGACAAGTGACAGCGCGACCGAGATGGCCAAGCCGTGTCGGGATACCTGGGTCCATCGTAGACCTGCTGTGATAGAGAGTGGCGAGCTTGGCGGGCGACTGGTGTCCGTGGCGTTGGACACCGAGGTGGGGGATTCGATCTGCCTCTTCCAAGGATGCCCGCACCCCACGGTCCTGCGAAGGCACACCGATGAGGAATGGCGATTGATCGGGCCAAGCGGGATCGCAGAAATCAGGAAAGGCATATATGTGGACGAAGTGGGACTTCCGGCGGGAACGCGCATCGGGACATTTCGAGTGGTATGATAGGAGATGGTGAAGACATGGTGAATCTGGAATTCGTGGACGAAGCGCTAAAAAGGAAGCTTTGATATGGAAACCAGTAAGAATATCTTGGCTCGGATGATACTAACGGTATTACCTACATCACGGCGCAATTTCCCACCGATAGCCTCCACACCATGCTGACAACCTTCCTCGCTCGACGGCCACCGGGAAATATAATGAGCATACACGGACTTCGGGACGCGCCTCGTCGCATGGACAAGCAGAAATAATTACAGTTTTATAATTACAAGGTTGGTTTTCGGAAAGAGTAGCATCAGTCTCACGCTTCGGGCAAGACGCCAAACTGAGGCTTATTAAACTGGAGACCCCGTCGATCTTGTTCTCGACGCCACTCGGCTGAACCAAGGCGAGCTATGATGGCAGAAAAACAGTCAAGTCAGTAAGTTATCCACGGGCTGTGAAGGACTAGAAGCGATTCGCTGCTTACATAGCGCGCGGCGAGATTCGCCCTGGGGCCGCGGTGACGTCTGCTGCCGGGGAGGCGCAACTGCTTCTTCATCGGCCGGTACGGGGGATGTCGTCGGCAGGACCGCGAAGCTCGGGGCGCCCCTGCACAGCCCCTTTTCGGCATATTCTTCCTGCCCAGGAGACACGGGCCGGGACGCCGCACCAGACCCGGGGCCGGCAGCCCCCAGCCCCGTCGGGAAGTTCCTGCTCGAGCTCCCCTGCGACCCCATCGGGCTGGTGGCCTGCTGCGGTCTCGCGACCGGACTCGCAGTGCTGCCGTCTTGACGAACCGCAGCTTCCGCATCCGGCTCGTCCATATCCTCCTCCCCGAACCGCGGCGCCCCCGCCCGCGGCCCCTGGTCGTGCATGCGCCGGTACCTGTCCTTGGGCTCGAGCGGGAACGCCACGTGCGGCTTCTGGTCCTCGCCTTGGGGCCCGTCCTTGAGCGTCGGGAAAAGCCCGGACCCGTGCTCCCAGTGCGCCGGGTGGTCCGCCCGGGGGACCCGGCCGAGCCACAGCGGCCGGCACGCGGCGCAGTACGTCGCCACGCGCTCCGCCAGCGTCCGCACCAGCGCCCGTTCGTCCCTGCACCCGCAGCACCGCCGACTGCCGCAGGCCGCGCTGGCGTGCGCGCACCGGTCCAGCCCCCACTCGTCCGGGCACGCCGCGTCCGGAACGTCGGCCCAAAAGTCCCGACAGGACGCGCAGTACGCCGCCACCCGCTGATCCCTACTCATGTCCTCTCCGCGCGCGTCGCCGCACGCGCAGCAGCACCGGTCCGGCGACCCGAACCGCACCACGGCAACGCCCGAGACCAGCTTTTTGCCATGGCGGCACCTGACCCGCCACTTCTCGGGTAGGGCGGCGGGCACCACCCCGCCATAGAAGCCGCGGCAGGGCGCGCAGTAGGGCGCGAGGCGGTCCGCGAGCGACACTTCCGCCTCGCCCGCGCGTGGCCGCGTGTCGATGCAGGCGCAGCAGGGGAGGTTGCTGCGGTGTAGGAGTTCGAGTAGACCGTCGGGCTCGCGCGCGCAACCACCGCTGCCACCACCCCCACCGCCGCGGGCGCAGCAGATAGTGTTGGGGAGGGCAGTCGGCGGCTGGGCGCGCCAGTGGCCGGCGCAGGGGGCGCAGTAGGTAGCCAGGCGGACGCCGCGGATGAGGCGGCCCGGGCGGGTGTCGGTGCAGAGGCAGCAGGCCGGGTCGAATGTGGCGGAGCGGGAGCAGGCGGCGGCTCGGCCGTGTTTGCACTCGAGCTTGTCGAGGTGCCAGCGGGCCGGGCACTTTCCGGGGCCGACGCGCGCCCAGCGGTCCCGGCAGGTGCCGCAGTAGGAGGCGATGCGCTGGGCCTTGGGAACGGCGTCTTGTGGGGTCGTGCGGGTGTCCCGGCAGGAGCAGCAGCCGTTGCGCTCCGTCTTGGCGGCGTCGTGGCAGCGTGTCTGGCAGGTCTTGCACAGGCTCTTGTCGATCGTCTTGGGGACGGCGGCTGGCCTGGGGACGGCGGCTGGCCTGGGGACGGCGGCTGGCCGGGGGAGGTTGAAGAGACCGGTAGGGGGTGGTCTGGGATTGAACGCAGGAGCAGGTCGTGGGGGGCTGAAAGCTGGAGCAGGTCGTGGCGGGTGGAAGACGGGAGGAGGGGGTGGCGGGTAGAAGACCGGGGGTGGCTGTGGGTTATTAAATCCCGTCCTTCTCGGGTTGTTATAATACCTACGCGGCGGCCGGCGCCTACAACAACAGTACCACAAACAGCCGAGCACGAGAAGGCCGGCGGCAGCCATGCCGACGAGGGCGACGATGGACACGACGTAGCTGAGGCTGAAGAGGGAGAATCCGGCCGTCGCCGTGCCGCTGGTCGTGGACGGGGTCGTCAGCGCCAACGAGTCCCCCGCAACGCCGCCGTCCCGGACGAGCAGGACGGGCGGCGCCAGCACCGTGACGAGGGCCTGGGCCGTATACGTGCGCGTCAGCGTGCTGGACGCGGTCACCACGGAGCCCCTCCAGGTACGACCCGCCGACTCGACGCTCGTGACGGTCGAGACGCCCTGGGCGCGCACGTAGTACGTCTGCCCGGCGCTCACGCCCATGGTTCCGAAGCATCCCGAGTAGGTGTTGAAGGAGGAAAAGTTGCTGCCGAAGGAAAGAAAAAACAAAAACGTTCGCGTCTGTTGGTTAGCGTGCTTTTTCTTGGTGTGCGAGGGGATCCCTCTGCTGCGCGCGGCGGCCTCACCTCGGGCAGCACGCAATAGACGTCTGCGTCCCGACAAGCCCCCTGCTAGTCGAGGCCGTGACGTAGCCCGTCGGGCACCCCGTCGCCGGGCTCATGTACGACTGCCCGTTCCATCCGGGCGGCACGCACGACGCCGACGTGTACGCCCAAGGGGCCGTCATGTAGGGGTAGTTGACGTCGGCGCGCGTGGTGGTGACACCGCCCGACGGGAACCACGAGCAGCCCGTGGCGGCGGACCGGCAGGTTCCGCCATCCACGACGGGAACGGCCGTCGCGCATGACGACGGCGGCGTCCAGGCCGTGGTGAGCGGCACGGCTGCCCTGGCCGCCAGGGGTGGCCGTGTAGTAGCCGGCGGCGTCGTCGTCGTCGTGGGTGCCGCTGGAGCCATGTCACTTGTTTCGCTGTCGACGATGCGCGCGCCGTCACGACGCGGGCTGACTTGGGTGTGGGCAGCAGAGGCGACTCCAGCAGGTGCCCTGGCCTCGTCGGCAGCACGGGGTCACATGATGATGGCTCAAGCCAACTCGACGCGCAAGCATCAATCTCAAGGCTAGGTACATAGGTCGACGCCGCTAGACCCATTCCATGGCCTACCAAAAACGGGGCAGCTTTCAATATTACAACCGGCCACAGCCTGCTCAGCCGCATCCCGAAACGGAAGAGACCTGTGTCCGTGCAGGCTCCCAAGTACAGTACATCCGTTGCCAGCGCGGGGGAGAAGGAGGCCAACGACAAGGGTGTTTCAACTATCAGACCATTATTATCTCCTGGACCCCCGCGATGTGACAGAGTTGCAGCAGTCTTTGCCGAGCGCTTTGGCTTCTTATTGGCAGCCTCGCCAGCAGGAGAAAATAGACACAGCCGAGACCGGGGAGCAGACCAAGGAAAACGCCTAGCGAGACGCCAGTCCGTTCAAGCTGATGCTCCAACCAATTACAATTATACATACCATACACGCTGCTGCATGGTCCTTGTCCGCCACCCGTCTGCCCGTGCGTTGCCTGGAACGCCCAGGACAAAAAAGAGGCAGTCCCACCTGGACAACAGAAAGGGTGCGAGGACTGCAAGAGCTGGGATAGGAATAAAAGAGGAATAACCACAGGAAGAGGGATAGGAATGATGAAATCAATAGGAACAATAAAATGAACAGTATTTAATAAAAAGAGGCCATATTATTAAGAATTCTATTGCTGGGACTTGTAAAACTGCCTTCTTTTAGGTGGTAGGCGTGCCTAGTCGTCGTAGCTGACCGTCGTGCTCCCCCACTCCTCTCCTTGGAATATCAGCCTCCAATTGATTTCGCCACCCGAGAGCCTGGCCTGCAACTTGAAGTCCACCTCGAAGTACTCCTTGCCTGTGCGCGGGTTGGTCGATCTGGGGAAGCGGATGATGGGGATGTCGCTGAAGTCTGCCCGCACCCTGCAAATGATTTTGACGGCTGGGAAGCACACCTTGTCAGCAGCGGTCCAAAAGACAAAGAGAAAAGGAAAATGCCCAAATACTCACAATCATCCGCGAACCGGCTCGGAGCAACGTCCTCGCTGCAGCCGGCGAGGATGGCACCGAGCTGGCGCTCCTCGTCGAGCGTAAAGTGCGCGCTGACGGCGATGGTGATCTCCTTGGGCGTGTCCTCGGGCAGGCGGTCCGACTTCTCCACCAGCCACGCCATCTGGGCCTTTGCCATTTTGCGGCCCGTGTACTCGTCTGTGATCATGTCGGCCGTGCTGTGGATGGACGGGTTGAAGACCCTGCTGACGGGCGTGCCGTAGAACTTGCGCGCCAGCCGGACCGCCACCAGGCCGCTGCTGCCCGTCTCCAGGCCGCGGCAGACGGCGCCACGTGCTACTGCAGACCATCTGTCCCAGTCGTGTGTGAGTTGACGAACAAAGGGTTCGCAAAGCGGGAGTTTCTGGAAACGACTTACGGGTGGGCCGGCTGACGCGTTTGCATGCCGCGCGCCGTACAGTATTCCTGGATCTTCTTGAAGAGGTAGATGTTGCGACCGAAGCCTCCCACCAGAAAGACCATCTTGGGCTTCCCGTGGCCGGCTTTCATCACGGCCGCGACCTGGCCGTCAACAAGCTCAAGGACCCTATTGACGCAGGGGTCGAAGATCTTTTGCATCTGCTCTCTATCCGGGGACAAACGCTCTCCGTCAGTAATGCTCGCCATACTGCCCCGAGGGCCGCGGGACTAGAGCTCTTACGCGTTCATGAACAGACTTCCGTCCTCGATCTGGAGGTCATCGTCGTCCATAATGCCAGCCTCGCTCGGAAGCCGGATTGCCATGTCGTTGTCCGATCCTAAAAGGGTTTGGTCAGCAAGGCTCGATAGCAGAGATAGCTAGTAGCACCCATGATGTGTACTGACCAGTGAACTGGCACTTGTTCATCTCAAACTCGTTGATCATGACGCTTCCGTGGCGCGTCTTCTCGGCCGGGATCCGATTGAACCGCTCGGTGCCAAGCCACTCCTCCAGCCAGTTGAGGAACTCCTTCTCGACGTAGGTCGCACCGCACTTGTCGCCGCTGCCGACGGCCGCCTCCTCGACATGGAACGCAGGGCTGACCTGTGTGATCTTGTACGAGATCAGGTCCACCGTCCCGCCCCCGGCGTCGCAGAGCACGAACGTGTCGCCAACCTTCATCTCCGTCTTGTTGGAGCTCTCGGACATGCCGCGGAGCGTGTAGATGGCCGCCGCCTCGGGCTCCGTGATCATGGACGTTTTGCTGACGCCCCACTCGGCCTTTGCCACGGCCTTCATGGTCTGGTCCTTGGCGCGCTCGCTCCAAACGGCGGGCACCGTAACGACAAGCTCTTTGCGCATGCCGTCGAACACGCCGCCGTACCGGTTCCTCATGGTCTGGTACGCCGTGTCCCGCACCAGGCTCAGATAGTCTGCGACAATCTCCACCACGTCCTTGCCCGGGTAGGCCGGGGGCGCGCCGCCGTTGCCGGCGAGGGCCTCGTCGATGTCGTTCATGTCCAGGCCGCCCATGTCGGACGTCAGGATCCGCATGAGGAGCGCGAGCTGCCGCGAGCCGGCCTGCTTGTCGTCTAGACGCAGCTTCATGCACGCGTGCACGGGCGCCTTGATCCGAGGCTTGATCAGGTCTCCCCAGACAATAGTGCCGCCCGTCGTCTGGCCGGGTGGCGGCGGCACATATGCAATGCGAGAAGGCGCCTTCTCCTTGTTGCCGACGGCCCCGATGCCGGGCCACTCGTTGACGACGGCGATCTGGTCGGTGGGTGCATTTTCCTTGTCGCAGTATGCCACACCCCTACGTAGTGCGAAGCCATCTCGGTCAGAACAGCGTCACAGTACAAAGCTGGAGGGAAATTTGGCCTTGCTTGGGCATCACCTACGTGTAAGTCGTTCCGAAGTCGAGGCCGATGACGAGCCGAGGTTGCGCCATGGTTTGCCGGTAGTAGATTTGTTTCTGACGCTGAAAGAATTTCGTTTGATGGTGGACTTGGTTGAGGAATTAACAAAAGCCCGAATATTGAGGGGTTTTGAAAGTGCTGGTTTTGCTGCCGCATCCCTCTAGCTTGACACGAAAGAAGGAGGGGGGCTTTCGTCGACATGCTTCCAGAGCTTGCCACAGGGGTGGTCAGGCTGAGGTTTGTACCAGTACATGGCTTGCAGCGCTTGCGAGTGCAGGCTGCTTCAGCTTTCCGACGCCGCGCGTCAGTAGCCCCATCAGCTAGCCAATATAGGGGCGCCACGGCGGCAATCCTTGATAAGGGCTTTCAGCTACACTTGGCTGAGTACGTCCCAAGCGGCGGCCTCCCTCACCCCGCGCACTCCATCAGCCGCCACTCGTTAGGGATCAAGCCGACCCCTCCCACCACTTCGGGGCCTTGGGCGCCCTGTGGATGCTGTGGAAAACCACATTTTCCCTGATCCAACCCGTCCTCCCTCAACTCACTATCCGATCAAGGCATGGATGCCATCTTCGAATCTGTAGCCGCTCTCGTTTCATACCGTCTTACATCCTCTCCAAACACCAACGACGAAGGCGACGAGCAGAACGCCATGAGAGACCACGGCACCACGACCGGCTGCCCCGACTGCGATTGTGGGGCCGAGCTCGGGGGCAATCCAGCACCCGTGTCAAGTTTCAGGGCCGCTTCTCCCGAGGAAGAGCGGGTGGTAAGAGAAGACCGCGCTACTCGAGAAAGCCGAATTGCTAGAGAGGATCGTACCGTGAGGGATGATCGCGCGATTAGGGATGAACGCCCGGCCCGGCCCGTACCGCCCCCGCGAGCAGGGTCATCCTCGTCGAGGGTCCACGGCCAGCATACGACCACCGTCACAACCACTACCTCACGCTCGGCGGCCTCCATGAGCGACAAGGAAAAGATTGAGGAGCTGCGGGGCTTCAACAAGACGTTGATGGACGTCATCAAGGAAAAGGACGCAGTCCTGCGAGAGAAGGAAGGATTCCTCCGGGAGAAGGACGGATTCCTCCGGGACCGCGATTCCGAGCTCCTCAAGTACAGCCAGGACTACTCCTTCCTCCACGCGGCCTGGACGGAGACCCAGGAGAAACTGGCCAAGCAGACGGAGCTCCTGACGGCCCTTCAGCAGGAAGCCCTGGCGAACGTGGACCGGCACGAGCCCACATTTGACGCCACCGTGGTGGGCGCCTTTGTCAAGGTCAATCGCACCATCAACTCGCTCGTCCGAAAGGGCCGCAAGGACGTCGTCACGCTGGCCCGGTTTGTCGAAGGCGAGGGCGCCGCAACCGTGCCTTGGCGCGAGGGCACCTTGCCCGACTCCTGCGTCGACACGAGAGTCCCCGAGGTCGCGGAGCGCACGTCCGAGGTCCTGGTGCTGATGCTGCGGGCCATGGTGTGGTGCGTTCTGGCGAGGAGGCTATTCACGGCGCTCAAGCCTTTTGCCGTTTTTGGCTCCAAGACTGCTCTGCTTGTGGATCAGTCCTACCAGCGCATGTTTACGAATCACAGTAAGTCCCTAGTCTTAGTTCCTTGCAGGGCTCGAATGGAACAAAAGCGCATGGTGGCCACCACGGCCTAGCCGCTGACACTCCCCTCAAGCGACCAACCAGGTGGCGGCCAGGTGGCGGGCGCTATCGGCCAGATGTCTAGCAGACTATGAGGCCGAGTCCGACGCCAGAGCCGAGGCCAGGTCGGCGACCGACGGCAGTAGGCCATTACACCAGGACTTCGTGCTGGAGGATCTGATGGCCGAGTTTGCCATGGTGCTACATGAGGATATCGGATGCCGGGACAAGTCCACCGAAGAGATTCAGAAGATGCTACGCCCGGCCTTTGAGCCCGTGCTGTTGGCTGCCATTGAGCTGGCCAGGCTGACGGCGCGCGAGCGGGCGGGCTACACGCTGGAGTTCCCGGACGTTGAAAAACATGGCTTCCTCAAGGTCGCCGACGACCAGCTCCTTACCAACAGGCCCACCGACGTCGGCATGAACGCCAGCGGCGACGAGGACGAGGTCGAGGGGCCGTTTGCCGTCGTGGCCTCGCCCATGCTGGTCAAGTGGGGAAGCGGGAGCGGCGAGCGACTGAACGAGTCGACGATCCTGTGCAAGGCATTTGTCTGGCGCCCACGAAGAGACTGATCGGGTGTCTTTCTGGCTGAAGGGCTGGGCAGACGAGGTTGTGGTTGGCGAGAACAATGTATTGTGCATGAAATTTTGGGAATGCCTCCAGTGGTGGCTGTCGGTTGTGGACACCCCACCCCACGCCCACCACAAAAAAGCGGCAGCCATACAGAAGGTCTCGTAGATTAAATACAAGTGTTAGTGCCGTCACCTTCCCTTTCCTTATTTTCATTTCCTGTTATTATTCTTATCGTTATTCGTGTTTTTATTCCCATTTCTAATTTTGTTTTTGCCCTATTTTTATACGTATTCCTGTTCCTATTTCTCCGAGCACCTGCCATCCTTTCTGTGGTGGGCATGCCCCCTTCAAGAATCCATTGTCTGTCAACAATCAGTCTGTCGACTGTCGACTTGTCAACTGCTACCCCGCTTCCCGAGCTCTTTTCTCTTTCGGTCGTGTGCAATTCCGAATACTTGTCAATTTCATTCATATCAATTGGGCCAACTCCACTCACCGGATGCTTCCGCGATACCCGTGGGATTGGCCTGGCGATTATAGCGTTCCTGCACGAGGAGCTGTGCATGTCACATATTGTGATGCAATTCCAGGACCCCACGGAGAGATACGAAGTGGTCCTATGATGGAGATGGGCGTTTTCTGATCCGTCTGCCCGAGCACTTCTTCCAAGAAAAATAGATAGTACCTAGAGGTACACCTACCTTAGCTCCGGAGGTACCTGAGGTCCACGACTGCTACATGACCGTCGTATCCGTGGGAGACCGGTGCCGGCGGCGGAGCAGCCTTGGCAGGTTCAGCCACGGTGTGCGTCGTGGTGACATCGCCCTGCGCAGAGTTTGCTTCCCAGCCAAGCTAATTATCATATTATTCCGGAACACAAGGCAACCTGCAGGCATTCGGACGCGAGAGACGCTGCCACATCTGCATAGTCTTCTCCACCCCCCTCGCCGTGTCCCATCCTCTGCTGCACCAGGCCCCAGGCCCCAGGCCGGATGGGGGCAATCCACTCCCCGACGTCGCTAATGCCGGCCAATGTCGGCGTTGTCCCCACGTCCGTCCGTTGCGGCCGGCCTGTGGATGCCCTCCAGCCTTGCATCCCCGGTCTCTGATCCTCTTGTCTGGCCCGGCTGCTGCCATGCCACCACCGTGTGGGGTGAAACCTTCGGTGGCCTGCACCTCCCGCGGCACCAGGGCGCTTTTTTGGGGCTTGTCATAGTGCCCCCCCTGGGTTTCCCGCCTGTTCCAATTTTTATAAAAAACCCCGAATGGGTATCAGAATCCAAATCTAGCATCCTCGTCACTTTGTCCCCATTCACTCCTGGTCACCAGACGCTGGTCACCAGCCAGGCCACATTCTTTGCTCCAATCTGAGGTTATCGCCGTTACTAGACGGCCTCTGTCCCAGACCTTTGAACAAAGACACGATTTTTGGTGAATTCCTCGTCGCCATTGTATATAGGACCTTCCAAGAATCAGGGAGTCCACGAGCCCGTTGTCCAGTGAATTCCATGTTTACATCGCCTTCATATTAAAAGCGGCCTCCGCTCACCCGGTACGAGATCCAGAAGGCCTTCTCCCCAAACCAAATCTGGAAGAACCACTCATCCTACCAAACCAGGAAGAACCACCCACCCTACCAAACCAGGAAGAACCACTCGCCTTACTTCGGCAACCGATCCTACAACAGCGATATGTGCCAGCAGGTAGACAACGTCTGGAAGTGCGGGCACCGCTCCTTCAAGACGGTCAACTTCTGCCACATCGAGACCTGCAAAGGAACCTCGGCAGACCATAAGGACAACAATCTGGACGGCGACTGCCACACCTGCGAGACGCGCAAGGCGGAGGAGAACAACGGGACCAAGCGGGACGACCCCTGGGGAAAGGACGACCCCTACAAGAGCCAGAAGAAGACGACGTAACCAGTCCCTGATATGGTCCCAATCATGAAGCCCTCCCACCATGGAAGCCTTCGGTAGGTAGATCAGGGAGTACTGAGAGTGCTGGATGATGGAGGTGGAGACAACCCCATGGCATGGTGTCGTGGTGTTCGGAACAGACTGCCGCACCGTAGGGGAAGAATAAAAACCATGCATGCATGACCAAACCTGCCTCCATGCTACACAATGCCCATAGCTTAAAAGCTCAGCTGAGGAGAACCTAAGGAAAAAAAAATATGACGTCGGATCGTCCTCCGACTAGGCATCAAAATGTGATTTTACCATGAAAAATACAGCCCGGAAGGCACACAGCCGTATCGCTCTTTCCTCAGACACAAGTGCACCTGCAGGTGGCTCAAAACGGCAAAGGCAACCGTCAACATCAGCTCATGGCGTCCACACTAGGCGGGCGACTTCTTCCCCATCGGACCTTTCGGTCAATGGCCGTCCCTGATCTTCCATGCAGCAATAGGTGCTGACAAAGCGGCGTTCTCGGCCATCGGGGAGTTTGATGGCGAATGCGTCCCCAGCCTGCTCCGCTTTCCCACATGGCGACCCTTTTTCGGGGAAGAAATACAAAGTCACGTCGGGGACAACCAACATCCATCATCATCCCCATGGCCAGCCGCCCCCATCCAGCGCACCCACCACACCTCAACACACTATATAATTTAGCCCATGCAGGATGCCATGATTCTATCTCGAACACGAGTAAAAGCCCCGTCACGGCGCATACACCCCTCCACCGAAGTTGGCTACCTACCTACTCGTTGTTCCAGCCACCAGACGCTGGCGCTGGTTTATTCCAAATAGCAACTGCCTACCGCCGCCATCCCTCTCCCTAATCTTGCTTTTTTCTTCTTGCCTACGTGTCCTGTCAAGTCGGCCGGCAGTAGGCGGACTCAAACCCACTCACGCACATCGCCGTAAACGGCAGGCCTTTCGTGATTTGGCAAACGCACGGTTAGATGCATCAACATATCCGTGCTGGCTGTTTCCAAGGTCACTGCGACCTGATCTGTGCTTGAGCGGAAGCATGATCCATATGGCCAGCTGTCGCCTCTGCCTCGTCGAGCCATTGCCGCAGCGACATGGGGGAAAGAGGTTTTTGCTGCCGTTGAGAGTCTAGGTATCCCACTGTATTTTGCCCAGGTTCTCGCCCCAGTTTCTAATGTACAAACGTGACAACGACTATCCTTTTGTTCAACTTTGGCTCCTGGCGCAAAAGAAGCATCCACCCGTCCTCTGATCTTGACGCCGGCGGCTATGCTGTATCGCCGGACGGGGCTGGCAGAGATGTCTCTCGTTGGGAGGTTTCGTGGAACCTGTCTGCTCACTTGGCCAATAAGCAAGAAATTCGGTTCCCACGGAAATACCCGCGACATGTACCGCCGTGGGCGACAGGCACATGCAACTGCGTGCCTGGGTCTTCTGGAAGCTCACCGGTTTGTATAGCAGGCACCAGGGGATGTGGAACGGCACACACATCCTCCCGCACCGATAGTCCACAAATATCAATGCGCCATCCCAGCACATCCGACACATTTCTACCCAGGAGGTCACCGGCGCCTCGGCAGCCGTTTAAACAAGGATCCTCCCCATATCGGCCATGTCACACAGATTTCGGTTCCCCCCACCCCAGCGCGCGTGGGACCTGTGTCAAATGCGCGATACCGCACACCGCCCATGACAGCATCCCCTTCAAAACCGTCGAGGTTACCCAGGGTCCAGTCGTGCAGCCCGAGACGTTGACCGCATTTCCACTGCTGAAAGATTATTGGCGTTAGCCTGGCAGTTGTGGACAAAGTGTCTCGGGCTGGAGAGATGGTATCAAGGTCGTTGCGTGCCTTGGATTTAGCAGCAGCACGGTTGGTTGTTCAAGGATGAGGTCGGTGCAATGGAAAGTTGGAGCTCACGACGTCAGCAAGTCCCGCCAAGCATATCATTTTGTAGGTTCGTGTAGGTGATGACCTTCGGTATTAGACAGGGGTCAAGAATTACTCTGGGGAGGCCGCACTCCCCTCTTCTTCACCGGTTTCTGGTTTTTTTTGCCCCTCTTCCCAAGCCCCGAACTCGAGCTCCAGCCCTTGAGCGGTTGCCCCAGTCGGGCCTGAGCCATCCTGCCTGCATCGACCTTTTCGCCCTTCTCTAGCGTCTTGGCGAGCAGCGGGCAGGACCCGGCAGTTGTGAACATGACCTTGACGACTCGGCCGGTCCCCGCCCCGTGAGCCCGCAGCAGCCCGACGAGCGCGCCGAGCACCGGCCTTGTCGCCGCGCCGTCTGCCAGATGCAGCCTGTCAAACACGAGCACGAGCGTCGGCGGCGAGAGTGGCAGCATGGCGCGGACAAGGTCGAGGGCGGCGGGATGGCTCGCCGGGCTGCCGTCCAGGGCGCCAAACGCCTCCTCGAACCTCGGCGAGGCCGGGCAGTCGAACTCGCCGGGGAGGAGGTGCACCAGCTGCGCCACCACCGAGTATAGGAGGGCTGTCGCTGTGGCCTCGCGCGGGGTAGGCGGTGGTCCTGCTGCCGACCCTCCCACCGGCGACGGCCGGGCTTCCCAGCGTCGCCGCCGGTAGCAGGGGTGCTGTTGGGCCGCCGCAGCCTCGGCCTTCCGAAGAAGGACACGCACGCGATGCCCGCATCCAGAACGAGGCTCACGATGTGTTTTGCCGCGTTGGTTAGCTGCTCCTCGCAGTGCGTGCTCACCGGTCCCTCGACCCAGAGGATCTGGGAGGACGGCATCCTCATCCATCGCTCGATCTTGATCGCAACTTCCTGGGGGAGCATTGCGCCAGGGATTCCCGTCCGCGTCCCCGCCCCTTGTTTGCCGGCTCTGCTACTCAGGTAGTATGCTTCGACTGGGCCCATTAGACGCTCTATCTCCTCTCGCCTGAGCTGGACAGCTTGGGAAATCGCTTCTGTATTGGTTTCGGACGGGTCAGTTGGAGTTGCCTTGCCTTCACTGGTAATTGTTCCTTTGCTATAGGTGACGCGGGTATCACGGGGCTTGCCTTTTTTGACTTCAACAGCCTCCCTAGATTCGACAGCATCGCTTTCCACATTACCATCAGGTGGCTGAATCCCTCTTGCGCCAAAGTTGGCCCAGACTATTACCAGGTCAACGGAGGCGCTGGTCAGCGTTTTTGCCTGCACTTCGTTGCACCAGAGATCAAATGCATGCCAGAAGGATTGCGAGGCGTACCGTAGTTAACCTGCTGCCCAGTCGCAAGGAGCGATTCCCGAGCCATGAGCCCTAACTTGATCTGTGAGGAGAGCTCCTGGAGTCGCGCATCGATACCATGCAGAGCCTCGTCTCTCTTGTCACTCGCCCTCCTGAGGGCCTGGACCTCATCAAGAATACTGGAAACCCCAAGCTCCGTATGCTGGACTCGTTGCTGCGTTGTCTACTCCGCCTCAAGCTTGATGCGGGCTACAACTTTCTTGATGCCGGCGGCGTTGCCGTCCACTTTCACTCCATATCCCTGGTTGAACGACGCCATGAACCGATGGCGAGGGTTCTGAAACCATTCCATGGCCTGGCAAAGAAAGTCAAAAATGAGGACATAAAGCTCCATGACTAGATACCGCATCTCCCGACTGTTGGATATCTGGTGGCCCTTTCTCACTGTTCGGATGTCTTGGTCGATCTCCTCCAAGGACTGGGCAAAGATCTCGGCAATTTTTCTATGGTTCACCGACATCTATCAAAAGGCACGATATGACTAGTTAGCAAAAACTTGTCATCCAAGATACTATGTGTAGACTGGGGTTCTGCATCCCTTAACAATGGATGAGATTGTCCCGGTTATGAGACTGGTGTACTTATCGTCGCTGGGTATGAGACTGAATAGGAACGAATAGTCGTGCAGAGTGCTCACGAAGCTTTCTAGGCGCTCCTTCGCCTTTCCGAACCCCGCTGTCTTCTTACCCGCCCATGCTGTCTGGGCTTCGCCGACCGCCTGCCGCAGGGTGAGGACGGTAGGGGGGTTTTGGGCCAACTGGTTGTCCGAGGCCCGGGGCAGGGGAGAGCGGCCTCCGGCACCCAAGTCCAAATTCCGGCTAATCTCCGTCGTCAGCATCAACACTGACCAGAGGTCCTTGGAGAGGTCATATTCATCCGCAAGCCGCGACGCAGTCTTCTGTCGCATCGTGCAGCAGCCGAACGTGACTGCAGCGATCTTCACTACCAGGCTCAAAATCCAATCGGCGCCGTTCGTGGACGCGCTGAAATCGTCGCTCTCGTACGAGCTCGGCTATGAGCTGGACTCGGAGCTGCTCGAGATACCCGAACCGTTTGCGCTGGTCGCTCACCATCTCGACGCACTTAAGGACAGAAAGCAGGAGCTAGACAAATTGAACGAGTCGCTCTTCCCCCCTGGATCAAGACAGGCGTGCAGAAACGTGCGAGGCAGCCCAGGCCCTCGATGTTGTTCTCACGTTCATGGCGCGCACTCTCGACGATCGGATGGCCAGGGAACGGGAACTACATGCGCGCGACACGCCCCTTTGCACCTTCCGCATGCTCTGGATGCTTTTGGTTCCTGGCAAGACGGTGTATGTTAGGACAGGAGCCCAGGTATCCGCATTTGTGCTCCGGTCAGTTGATATCAATGGTGCTGGCTGTCTTTCTGGGCAATCGCATCAGCTGGGCCCGTACGAGTTCAACCTCTGGTATCTTGACTATGACTTGAACTCCCGGTCTATGGCATCGCGCAGAACATTGGCTAGGATCTCACCTTTCATGGCTGAAAGAGAAATACTTTCTCTGGACGTTGTCCCTTGCGATATTTGGGACAGGATGGATGGGGGCAAGCTCCGAGCCAAACTGGAGGCATTGGGGAAGAAATGGTTTGGCATGTTTCATGGCCAGTACGGGCTCTACGAAGGGCAACTCCATGATGAGCGCGGCGTTGCGGTTGGTCTTCAACCTTGCCCACCACACAAAACTTCGACTTGTATCCCTTGCTGACATTCATTTATTGCTGCTTCCAAGAAATTCCGTGGGAAAGTGTTCGTTGATCCCGTCTCATACTTTGAGTTTCAGAGCAACGGAGAGGACAGTCCTGAATTCGCGCCCTCGCCTTCATGGACAAGTGTCGAGAGTGACGGGAGTGGGTCGGTTTCCCGGATCACTAGACGGCTGCGGGCACGTGGGGGTCCTCGTCAGCAGAAACGGGAGAGAACCGGCGCCCAGCGATTGCACAAGGCTGGCAATATTCCACTGCCCGAAACAAAGGGAATGGACAAGAGCTGCGATCAAGAAACGTTGAAGCTTCGATACTTGCTTGTAAGCAAACGTATCAAGGCCTTCGTCTTCAAAACCCGCGAATGGCGTAAGTCACGAAGCTTACGGGCTCGACAATCCGTTACTTCTTTTGGTGCATAGCTGACTTCGTCATGATGGCATTGTCCTCATAAACAGACACAATAGACGTTGAGTTTTTTGAGAAGCTCCAGGCGAACCGGACGCCATTCGACCGCCTCGTAATCCCCGAGGCCCGCAAGAACATGATCCGGTCACTCGTGTACAAGTACACGGATCGAAAAACCAGACCCTGGAGCGCCGACCACATTCAAAACAAGGGCGACGGCCAGATCTTCCTGCTGCACGGTAGCCCCGGGGTCGGCAAGACTTTCACGGCCGAGTGCATCGCCGAGGTGACCGGCCAGCCGCTCCTCGCCCTCACCTGCGCCGACATCGGCACCAACGAGGTCGAAATGGAGTCCAAGCTCGGCAAGTGGCTTACGCTAGGCCACAGGTGGGGGGCCGTCGTGCTGATCGACGAGGCCGACGTCCTGATGGAGAAGCGGCAGCACGCTGACCTCAAGAGAAACAGCCTTGTTTCTGGTAGGTTAAAGTCGGCTGTCTCGGGCTTGCTCGCCGATTCCACCTGTAGCATTTTAGGGACATCTCGTTACTGACCAAACACGTTCCTGGGATCTCATCACAGTGTTCCTGCGAGAAATCGAGTACTACCGAGGCATCTTGTTTTTAACGACCAACAGTAAGTTTCGGGAAATCGCAAAGGAGGGGTAGAAAGTTGTCGAGGCGAGAGTCACAGGACAATTGCGTTTTGTTGACCAGAAGCCACGCTCTCGTAGGAGTCGGCCAGTTCGACGACGCCTTCATCTCCAGGATTCACGTCGTGATCCACTACGACAACTTGAACAAAGACGATCGTGACAGGATTTGGAACCAATTTTTTGACAAGCTGGAGGACGAAAAGGGACAGGAGATCAAGATTCTACGGTCCGCAAGGCGCTACGTGCTCGAGAACCCTGATATTACAAGCGTTCCATGGAACGGGCGTGAGATCCGGAATGGTAGCATGCCCCACTTCGCCCACAGCACTTAACTTGCTCTCATCAAGACAAGGCTAACGCGATGTCGTTTTCCTCCCAGCATTCCAAACTGCCGTCGCCCTGGCCGAGTACCGGTTCCTAACAATCCCGGCCCCGGAGAAGGCAGAGGGCGATATGGCGGAGCTGCGAGTCGAAGACCTCAAGCAGGTCTGCGAGATGACCAAGGCGTTCAAGAAGTATTTGGCCGAGGTCCACGACGACTACGACGAGTTTGAGCGAGCGGCGCTAGGCAAGCTACGGAGGGGCAGCATCGGCGACTGCCAAGAGTGAACAGCCGCGGCTCTCGCTCGGGTTTCCCCCCCCCCCGCGCGCGCGCGCGCGACGCG